ATAAATATTGGCTTTCTTTTAAATCTAAAAAAGAAATAGCATACAGGATATTTTCAATCATTTTCTTGTGTTTGGAAGAGATGAGAGTTGGCAAAAGTGATGGTGGAAGTTGCAGAGAAAGGGCATTCGATTGGATAAGTACAGAAATCGAAAAAACTCAAATCTCGATCACTTCTGGAAAGAACTATGTTAACATGTTCTTTCCAAAAGTTGTTAACATGTGGGGGACGATAAACAATAAAGATACGCGAGGGACAGGGAAATCGGTTAAAACTAGGCCTAAAATATGCGAACGCGAGAGCCCAAGCTCGAGCCTAAGCTTGAGCCTAAGCTCGAGCCTGAGCATCTGAATGATCAATTCAGATGCTCAAAAGCGAATATATCAATTTTCTTGTGTTTGGAAGAGATGAGAGTTGACAAAAGTGATGGTGGAAGTTGCAGAGAAAGGGCATACGATTGGATAATTCGATTGGATAAGTACAGAAATCGAAAAAACCGAAATCTCGATCACTTCTAGATTCCAGAGAAATCATGGCAGATCATAAGAATCAAATTTGATAATTTTTGCCAAACCTTGCCCGTTTTTTTTTGTTATCAATCACCCGATTCTTATCAAAAAAAAAAGAGGAGAATGACCCATCCAGAAAAGAAATAAAAAAGAAAGAAAGAAGATGACCTTTCGACTCAAAAGAATATTTTACAACTATCTAATTCTAAAATATAATCGATTTCAAGTGTGAAAGCGAGTTTTTTGTGTTCCTGGGGTTAATCCCATTGGGATTAGCAAGAGAAGAATTTGGAAAAAAGAATTGGATTGAATGGAATTGAATGGAAAAAAGAAAATTGGAGAAAAGTCTATCTTTTTTTCTTTCTAAACCGTGCCACGGTCTCTATTTTTATTCAATCTATCCACTTTTTATTGAATTCTGTGAGTGTTCACAAAGGATATTGAAAGATATAAAAAGTGGATTGATTAGATAAAAATAGGGTCATTATGAAAGAAAGAATTAGAAGAAGAGCAAAGTTAAAAATTGATTCATTCCAATTCGTGGATATTTTTTGGCGAAATGAATCTTGGCAATAGGCTTGCTTATCGATATTATCGATATTCTGTGAGTGTTCACTCGCCACGGAATTTGGAAGGTCAAGTTTGAGACAAATTTTCCAAGCTTCCAAACTTCCAAACTCCGAGACTCCTATTTGGAAGGTCAACTTTGAGACAAATTTTCTCTATGTTCTTATCAACGAGTCTACAAAACAAATTTTACTTTTCTATAACCAAATTTAATGAAGATTCCATTAAAACCAACCATAAGTTGATTCAGCTTCTATACCTCGAGTTATAGACCATCTAAGTTGATCAACTTTTCCATCAACATCTAAGTTTGACTCAAACTAAAAATAGGGTACTTATGAAAGAAGGAATTAGACAAAGAACGAAGATAAAAAGTTGATTCATTCTAATTCGTGGATACTTTTTTGGCGAAATGAATCTGGGCGATAGACTTGCTTATCGGGGGTGGGACAAATGCGACCTTTTTTTGCGCACCTGGACATTTGCGCACCTTTTTTTGCTGGAAAAGGCCTTAGGAAAGGTCGTAGAGCTTCAAAAATGTTTTCACAGAAGAGAATCGTATGCGTAGATTCCGAATTTCGACAAATCTGACCTCGCTGACACGTCAAATTTCGGCTAAAAGGCAAAAACTACGCAATAACGCGTTAAGTTCCGCAGTTTTTGCCTTTTAGCCGAAATTTGACGTGTCAGCGAGGTCTAATTTGTCGAAATTCGGAATCTACGCATACGATTCCCTTATATGGAAATATTTTTGAAGCTCTACGGCCTTGTCTAAGGCCTTTTCCAGCAAAAAAAAGGTGCGCAAATGTCCAGGTGCGCAAAAAAAAGGTCGCATTTGTCCCACCTTATCGATATTATCGTTACAAACGGCATGTTTGTATTGTTTGACCGTTCAGATCTCAATTCCTAGAAAAGCTATTAATTTGCAAATTGTTTCATTGAAAAGTCAAGAATGTCAAGAGCTTTTGATTGCTATTTTATACATAGCGACTTTTAATGAGTAAGCACTTCATAAACTTCAAAACCTTATCGACATCGAAAGTATCTATTATCGATAAGCTTTTTAAGGCACTCACCTAAGAGAATTTGCTATTTGTGAGATAGCAATCTAAAGCTGACATTCTTGACTTTTCAATGAAGCAATCTGCAGATTGATAGCTTTTCTAGGAATTGAGATCTGAACGGTCAAACAATGAGCATGCCGTTTGTATCGATAATATCGATAAGCAAGTCTACTTGGCGAAATGGGTTTCGGGGCGTTTTTCGAAAACTATTCTTTTCCAAAAAACTTTCTACAGAAAGTAGCAAGTATTTTATACCATTTGAAAGCTCTAATTCTCAGCATCATTAATACATTAAAGATTTCCTGGCCAGAGCTAATTTTTGACCCTTACTGGCCTTCGGAATGAGCTTGCCGCAGGTACCCCACGGCGATCTGCCATTTTTCGTGAATTGAATGTAGGAAGGGTTTCGAAAAGGATTGTTTTCAGCTGACTAATCATTTCTTCAATTCTTTCGGTTCAAAATAAAGGCAAACGTTAACCGATTGGGAGTGGGTTAAATTATGCCAGAAAAAAATCTTTACTGGCCTTCGGAATCAGCTTGCCGCAGGTACCTCACGGTCATCTGCCATTTTTCGTGGTTTTCTAAGTAAAAATTTGACCGAGAAAAACAGGAAATACGATCAAATTTGTCAAATTTTATCAAAATTAATTCAATTCAATACTTTAAAACCAAAATAACAAACCAAAAGTGCCTCAGTCAGCAGAAGCAGATATGAATGAATGAATGAATGAATCTGGATATCGTTTTTGTGATGAATGCAAGAAATTGGTCTGTATATTTTCATTTGGATTGGTAGACTTTGTTTGCATTTCTTGATAATGTGCTTATGGGATGTCGTCGACAAAATGTTTCATTGCAAAAAATGCGAGCTGAAGGTTTTTTTTTCCTAATAGGTTCATCCTTTTGGTCAATTTTAGCTCTGCGGCACTTGCACTCAGGAAAAATCGCATCCACAAGGCGATCACACTTCTGCAAAAAGAGGTAAAAGCACAGTTAACAGAGTTTTTGTTTCAAATTTATGTTATTTAGGCGGGTCAAATGTCTCACAAGCTTTGCGATCTTTCAATCAATCAGGTTCAAATTTACAACCAATTATTTTCGGAGCTTCACAGGGAATTGTCTGATGGCCTTCAAGGATTTGATCAGCTTTGCTAATCCACTTAAATTTTTCTTTAGAAGTTGTTGAAGGAGGCGAGCGATCTCACAAATTCATCGATCTTTGAAGATTTAATGGAGAAACATAAAAAGTGCACGTAGGCAACTTTCAGTTTTTCTCTTTTTTCAATTTTTTTTTCTACAGAGAACTGGAGAAGGATCTCGAGAAGTGCTCCGAAGAATACATGCCCCACGTACGCAAATACGAAAAAAGAGTCAAAGTGAGTTGAATTTGTTTTGCTAATTTTATTTGGACTTAGGAATTGATGAAAACCCTCGATGATGCTCCAAATTAAGCCATATCTTGTTTACATTCCCTTTTACATCTAACTTTTTTCATTTTTATGTTATGCTTTAATTTTTTTATACGATATTTACACTTTGCAAATTTGTTATAAGGGCAATAAAGTTGCTATAATTCTTTGTTTTATGATTTAGCATCGGTTGTAGCTGGTTTAGTTGATACCTTTGAAATTGATTTTATAATATTAACTAAATCTTTTGTATGGGCGACAGTTTGTTTAGAAATGAGGTTACTGATATTCAAGTCGTTGAACTGCATCCTCTGCAAGAAACCGTGTAAGTCTCAGCTTTTCCTTTAAAAATTCAAGGTCTTTTGTTACTGCAACAGCTACCTAGGTTTTTGTTAAGAATATAAAAATTTCTAAGGTTTTCTTTAGTTGTGCCGATTGCAAGACAGCCTCGATCTCCACGACTTTTGGCTTGTGGATCGGCGATTTGTCATGAATGTTTCGAGAAGGAAAAATCGTTGAAGCAAGACGAGAGGGAACATAAATGCGATCGCGGTGGAATATGCTTCTACAATCCCAACTTTGCTTGCTGTGTGATTGGTAAGAATTTTTCATCTCTAATAACCGAAGGCTGATTTCTTTCTTTTAGATGTGCTATCACAGGATTGCTTCACTCTTTCGCCGATTTTGGGCGGATATTTGCTTAATGAGGTTGGCCTGTTATTATTGGTTTTTTTTTCAAAAAAGGTTTAGCCATTGGTCAATCCTGAATGCCCAATCTGTCACGATGAATGTAAGTTTTGATTATGATTGTAGGTGGTTGTGAACTTCAATTATGATAATTTTGGCGAATTTTAGATTCGAACAAAGTCGCTTCTAAGAAAGCTTTTTTTTTTCGGTTGCGATCACATTGTATGCACTGAATGCCATCAGAAAAGTTTGAAGCAAAATAACGATACCGCGACACGGGCTAAGTTGGCATACAAAGTTGCTTGTCCGACTTGTAACACAATCACTATGACAAGTGAAGATGAAGATCGTCGGGAAAATTGGTTGCAAGGTTTATCAACCAAATATTTTGTCAAATTTAATTATTTGTTTATCTAGATTTCTTGAACGAATTGCCTGAAATGACATACCAATTAGAAGAAATGAATGAATCTGGATATCGTTTTTGTGATGAATGCAAGAAATTGGTCTCTACATTTTCATTGACCCAATGAAAAAGTTGTTTTAGGATATTGTTGACGAAATGCATCACTGTAAGAAATGCTCGTTGCAGGTTTGTGCTGGTTAATATACTAATTTTTTTTCACAATTTGAGCTATGTGGTAACTGTATCTACAAGAATCATCGTTCACACAAGGCAATCACACTTCTGCAAAAAGAGGTAAAAGCACAGTCAGCAGAGTTTTTGTTTTTAAAAAAAATTCATATTTTTTTATGCGGGTGTAATGTCTCACGAGCTTTGCGATCTTTCAATCAGTGAGGTTCAAACGTACAATCAATTATTTTCTGGGCTTCACAAGGAATTGTCTGATGGCCTTCAAGGATTTGATCGGGTTTCATTTGATTTGATAATTTTTGCTAATGATCAGGTTTGTTAGGCCATTTAAATTTTTCTTTAGAAGCTGTTGAAAAAGAAAAGAGATCTCACAAATGCGTCGACCTTTGAAGATTTAAAGGAGAAACATAAAAAGTGCACGTAAGCAATTTTCAGTTTTTCTCTTTTTTCAATTTTTCTTCTACAGAGAACTGACGAAGGATCTCGAGAAGTGCTCCGAAGAATACATGCCCCACTTACGCAAATACGAAAAAAGAGTCAAAGTGAGTTGAATTTGTTTTGCTAATTTTATTTGGACCGTAGGAATTGATGAAAACTCTCGATGATGATCCGAATTAAGCCATATCTTTGTTTACATTCCCTTTTACACCTAACCTTTTTCATTTTTATGTTATGATTTAATTTTGTTATACAATATTTACACTTTGCAAATTTGTTATAAGGGCAATAAAGTTGCGATAATTGTTTGATTGATTGAGCATCGATTGACTTGCCACGAAAAAAAAGCTAATAGAATTTGAGAAAGAAAACAAAAATAAGGGTTCTGGACCCAAAAATATCCAATAGTTTTTCGCTTAACCCTTTTCAGGCCAAAAAAAATTGTTTGCATCACAAATTTTGCCAAGGTTTTTATAAGGTTTAGAGTTTTTAAGCAGTTAGTTGAGCTAGTTTTCCGTTATAGTTTTAATAATCAAATAGATCAATAATCAAATAGTTTCAATAATGAAATAAATCAAATCGATACCAAAAATCGAAAGCTAATCGAAAAATGTGACTTCGGTAGTAAAAAGTGAAAGATTCACGTTAAAATAACGAAAAATCAGTGGAAATCATTAGAAGCATCACTTCAATAGATTTTTGACGTCAGGGAAATTCAACTTTAAAAAATCATTAAATGGACCGGTCCTTTTTCAACTATCTACCAGTTAGCCATCAACTTTGACCCCAATTTGAAAATAAGAATTGAGCTAGTTTGGCTGACAATGATAATGATGGAAGTCGAGCGGATAGTAATGGCAGTTGGGCTTGACAGGGAAATTAATTACCAATGGATTTTATTGAATATATATTGGCTTTCCTTTAAATTTAAAAAAGAAACAGCATACAGGATATTTTCAATCATTTTATATACATATATGCTTTATTCAGGGGGCGAATAGAAGCGAATCAGATAATCATAACCGCATACAACATATTGCTACAATACTTTCACAAAAAAGAAAGAAAACTAAAAATAGTACAGTATGACTTAGGAAACACGGGTACAAAAAGATTAAATATAGAGCATATTTGACATGGCAATAAGATCTAATTCGTTTACAGATACTTTCAATTTTCCTACAGATGCGAAGATACCAGACGGGAGCTTATTCCAAACCCTACTAATACGGTTCGCAAAAGAATGATGGGGATGGGAACCGACCGAAATTTGATAAGGATGACTACGTGTACTTCTAGGACTTTCCACAATTTTCAAGAGGCTTTGAAATTCTGGATACGATTTAGGGTGGAAAAGAATTTTACACCAAAAAATAAGATCAAAGTAAATCCGGCCATATAAAAGGGTTTTTAAATCAAAAACTATAAGTCTAGTTTCATAATTTGGAATAAGAGAAGAAGGGAAACAACGAGTGTATGCTTTTTTTGTGAAACACCGTTGGACATTTTCAACCAGGGTGATAAGTTTCTTAATGGAAGGTGACCATACGATGGTGGCATACTCGAGCAAAGGCCGGCAATAGGTTATAAAAGCCCTGCGATAAGTCGCGATTTTAGGGAAACAAATGGCGCGAAGTATTATGTTAGAAATTCTAAAAGCTTTTTTGGAAATGTAGTTTATGTGAAGATCAAATTTTAGAGAGGGTACTAACAGTATACCAAGATCTTTTACAGGATCATCGGTCAATCCTTGTGGTAATTGTAGGCCCCCCAAATTTAAAGGGATATGTAATGAACCAAATGTAACGTGTTTGCATTTGTCCGGCGCAATGTTAATTTTCCAAAATTTACTCCACAGAAGGGTCGAATTAAGATCCTTCTGGAGAAGAGTAAAATCAGGGATGGGGCTATGGGACGAAAGTACCCTATAAATTTTAAGCTCATCGGCGTAGAGTCGGGCTTTTGTGCCTAGGGAGATCGAACTGTTAATGTCATTAATATAAATAAGGGAAAGAAGAAGACCAAGAACGCTCCCTTGGGGCACTCCGCTACTAATGGGAAAGTCATTCGGAAAAGTAGAGCCTAAGCGGATGCGAAAAGTCCTTTCGGTAAGCCAATTTGCAATCCAATTAGTGATGGATCTGGGGAGCCCTAGTGAATTTAGTTTGACCAATCTATGATTAACAGAATCGAATGCTTTCGAAAAATCAATGAAAACGCAGCTAGTTTGATCTTTTTTGGCTTTAGCTAGAAGCCAGTCATGCGCACAGAGAACTAGCTGGTCGGAGGTAGAGCGGCTTTTAAGAAAGCCGAATTGTTTTTTATCAATTAGATTATGTTCATTTAGATAATGAATAATGTGGTCGCGAATAATTATTTCTAAGACTTTACAAATGGAGAAGGTGAGCGCGATGGGTCTATAATTTGCAAGCGCGTCCCGATCTCTCTTAAAAAGTGGCAAAATTGTTGAGTCCTTCCAAAATTTAGGGTTCTTAGCCGTTAGAAGTGACAGATTAAAAAGTTTAGCAAGTAGTGGTGATATTTGAAACTTAAAATCAACGAAAATCAACGAGTTTTCCGTATAACAAAAGAGGGAATTCCGTCTGGGGTGTAAGAAATCTTATTGCTAATTTGCTGTTTTGACAAGTCTTGTTGCGACGATTAGGGCTGCGCAAGTATGTGCTGGGGCGGGAAGAGCAGGGATGCAACTACCATCGTCAACTACAAAAACGCTGGAGAAATATTGAGCAGAGGAATTAGCAATTTTGTGATTTTCGAAAATCAACGAGTGGCGAAGGGGGTCAAATATAAATTTAATAGGGGAATCGTGGTTTAGGTTAAGAAATAAAAAAGTCTTAGAATAGACTTATGAGCAAAAAGCCTTGGGACTAGGACTAAAAACGGATTTCCGTTCAATATTGGTCTCAAATTTCTTGACAAACTTAGGTAGCTTGTTTTCTAGATATGGGGGGATCGCGATAACGCCAAGCTGTTTCTAACCTTTGCCTAGCTCGAGATATGTGGCTGGGGTAAGAAAAGGTAGACCTGGTTGAAACAGGTACATTTTCGTCCAACAGCGATTTCGTCTCTTCAAAGTAGTCAGCATAACACTCGTTGATGTCCATCTCTAATCGGGGAAGAAACCTTGCATTGTAGATGCACTAAAGAAAGACAGAAAGCACCGAAATTACCTCTCCAAAAGGCACGGTTACCATCCGGTCCTTTTAGAGAGGTAAAATGACGCAGAATTTAATTAAAAGACATAGAAAAATGGTCAGCACCACCAATGGGAGGACATGGTGAAAAAGCTGAAATTAAATGAGGGAAATCGGTTAAAACTAGGTCTAAAATATGCGAACCTTTTCCTTCCTGAAAGTAGGGAATTTGTTTAAAATTCCTAAATTGTTGGCTGACGGGAAATTTTCTAAATGTGGAAAACGCGATAAATTAGGTAAAAGTCCTGGAGAAACAGTTAAAGGAAAATTAAAACCGCCAAGAAGGAAATTTGGATGATTTGGTAGCAAGTAATCTTCAAGAAATGTAAATAGATGGAAAGAACCCTGGTTGTTAACATGTGGGGGACAATAAACAATAAATATACGCGAGGGACAGGGAAATCGGTTAAAACTAGGCCTAAAATATGCGAACGCGAGAGCCTAAGCCTGAGCCTGAGCATCTGAATGAGCGAATATATCAATTTTCTTGTGTTTGAAAGAGATGCGTTAGCAAAAATGATTGTGGAAGTTGCAGAGAAAAGGCATACGATTGGATCAGTACAGAATTCGAAAAAACCGAAATCTCGATCACTTCTAGATTCCAGAGAAATCATGGCAGATCATAAAAATCAAATTGATAATTTTTCCAAAGCTTGCCCGTTTTTTTTGTTATCAATCACCCGATTCTTATCAAAAAGAGGAGAATGACCCATCCAGAAAAGAAATAAAAAAAGAAAGAAGAAGATGACCTTTCGACTCAAAAGAATCTTTAAAAATATCTAATTCTAAAATATAATCGATTTCAAGTGTGAAGGTGAGTTTTTTGTGTTCCTGGGGTTAATCCCATTGGGATTAGCAAGAGAGGAATTTGAATGGAAAAGAGAAAATTGGAGAAAATTCTATCTCTTTTTTTTCCAAACCGTGCCCTACCGTAATCTGTCTCTATTTTTATTCAATCTATCCACTTTTTATCTAATTCTGTGAGTGTTCACAAAGGATATATTCGCTGATATATTTACCTAATTTATCGCGTTTCCACATTTAGAAAATTTCCCGTCAGCTAACAGTTTAGAAATTTTAAACAAATTCCCCACTTTCAGGAAGGAAAAGGTTCGCATATTTTAGACCTAGTTTTAACCGATTTCCCTCATTTAATTTCAGCTTTTTCACCATGTCCACCCATTGGTGGTGCTGACCATTTTTCTATGTCTTCTAATTAAATTCTGCAACATTTTACCTCTCTAAAAGGGCCGGATGGTAACCGTGAATGTAAACAAGATATGGCTTAATTCGTATCATCATCGAGAGTTTTCATCAATTCCTAAGTTCAAAATAAAATTAGCAAAACAAATTCAACTCACTTTGACTCTTTTTTCGTATTTGCGTACGTGGGGCATGTATTCTTCGGAGCACTTCTCGAGATCCTTCGTCAGTTCTCTGTAGAAAAAAATTGAAAAAAGCGAAAAACTGAAAGTTGCTTACGTGCACTTTTTATGTTTCTCCTTTAAATCTTCAAAGGTCGACGCATTTGTGAGATCTCTTTTCTTTTTCAACAGCTTCTAAAGAAAAATTTAAATGGATTAACAAACCTGGTCATTAGCAAAAATTACTTGATCAAATCCTTGAAGGCCATCAGACAATTCCTTGTGAAGCCCAGAAAATAATTGATTGTACGTTTGAACCTCAGTGATTGAAAGATCGCAAAGCTTGTGAGACAATAAACCCGCCTAAAAAAAATATCAATTTTTTAAAAACAAAAACTCTGCTGACTGTGCTTTTACCTCTTTTTGCAGAAGTGTGATTGCCTTGTGTGAACGATGATTCTTGTAGGTACAGTTACCACATAGCTCAAATTGTGCAAATAAATTGTATATTAACCAGCACAAACCTGCAACACGCACTTGTTACAATGATGCATTTCGTCAACAATATCCTAAAACAACTTTTTCATTGGGTCAATGAAAATATACAGACCAATTTCTTGCATTCATCACAAAAACGATATCCAGATTTATTCATTTCTTCTACTTGGAATGTCATTTCAGGCAATTCGTCCAAGAAATCTAGATAAACAAATAATTAAATTTGACAAAATATTTGGTTGATAAACCTTGCAACCAATTTTTCCAACGATTTTCTCCACTTTGTCAGAGTGGTTCCCTTGCAAGTCGGACAAGCAACTCTGTATGTCCAAGTAGCCCGTGTCTTATTATCGTTATTTTCCTCCAACCTTTTCTGATGACATTCAGTGCATACAATGAAAAACAAAAGCTTTCTTAGAAGCGTCTTTGTTCGAATCTAAAATTCGCCAAAATTATCATAATTGAAGTTCACAACCACCTACAATCATAATCAAAACTTACATTCATCGTGGCAGATTGGGCATTCAGGATTGACCAATGGCTAAACTTTTTTGAAAAAAACCAACAATAACAGGCTAACCTTCTTAAGCAAATATCCGCCCAAAATCGGCGAAAGAGTGAAGCAATCCTGTGATAGCACATCTAAAAGAAAGAAATCAGCCTTCGGTTAATAGAGATCAGCCTTCGGTTATTAGAGATCAAAAACTCGTACCAATCACAGAGTAAGCAAAGTTGGGATTGTAGAAGCAATTTTCACCGTAATCGCATTTATGTCCCCTCTCCTCTTTCTTCAACGACTTTTCCTTCTCGAAACATTCATGACACATCGCCGATCCACAACCCAAAAGTCGTGGAGATCGAGGCTGTCTTGCAATCGGCACAACTACAAAAGTTACATACAAAAGTTTGGTGTTATAAACCTTTAAATGCCGTAATGCTAGCCAATTAAAAACTTACACGGTTCCTTGCAGAGAATGCAGTTGAGCGATTCGAATATCTTGATATCCCTCAGTAACTTCATTTCTAAAGACAAAAATATGTTCAAGAGAGCAAAGTAAAGAAGGAATAATACAAAAAGTAAAATGGGCACTAAATGGTACTCCCAAAACTTCAGAAAAGTCGAGAAATAGCAGACTCACAGAATTTAGAAATTAAAAGATATTTAGGCATCGACGGGAAAATCCATAGGGTGGTCCACAATTATGACAGCCAGTTTTTGGAAAACTATTCTTTTCCAAAAAACTCTATTCAGAAAGTAGCAAGTATCATATACCATTTGAAAGCTCTAATTCTCAGCATCATTAATACATTAAAGATTTCCTGGCCAGAGCTAATTTTTGACCCTTACTGGCCTTCGGAATGAGCTTGCCGTGTACCCCACGGCGATCTGCCATTTTTCGTGATTTGAATGTAAGGAGGGTTTCGAAAAGGATTGTTTTCAGCTGACTAATCATTTCTTCAATTCTTTCGGTTCAAAATAAAGGCAAGTTTTCAGAATACATGCTCCACTTACGCAAATACGACAAGCGAGTCCAAGTGAGTCGAATTTGTTTTGCTAATTTTATTTTTGCCTTAGGAATTGATGAAAACTCTCTCGATGATGATCCAAATTAAGCCATATCTTTTTACATTCCCTTTTGCATCTAACTTTGTTAGTTTTTATCTTATGATCTAATTTTGTTAGCTTGTGATTTTGGTATATGATGTTTACACTTTGCAAAGTTGTTATAAGGTCAATAAAGTTGCTATAATTGTTTGTTTTATGATTTAGCATCGATTGTAGCTGGTTTAGTTGATACCTTTGAAATTAATTTTATAATATTAACTAAATTTTTGTGTATACGACATTTTATTTAGAAATGAGGGTATTCGAGTCGTTGAACTGCATCCTCTGCAAGAGACCGTGTAAGTCTCAGCGTTTCCTTTAAAAATTCAAGGTCTTTTGTTACTACAACAGCTACCTAGGTTTTTGTTAAGAATATAAAAATTTCTAAGGTTTCCTTTAGTTGTGCCGATTGCGGGACAGCCTCGATCTCCACGACTTTTGCTTTGTGGATCGGCGATTTGTCATGAATGTTTCGAGAAGGAAAAGTCGTTGAAGCAAGGGGAGAGGGAACATAAATGCGATGGCGGTGAAGCATGCTTCTACAATTCCAACTTTGCTTACTGTGTGATTGGTAAGAATTTTTGATCTCTAATAACCGATTACGAAGGCTGATTTCTTTCTTTTAGATGTGCTATCACAGGATTGCTTCACTCTTTCGCCGATTTTGGGCGGATATTTGCTTATGAAGGTTAGCCTGTTATTGTTGGTTTTTTTTTCAAAAAAAGTTTAGCCATTGGTCAATCCTGAATGCCCAATCTGTCACGATGAATGTAAGTTTTGATTATGATTGTAGGTGGTTGTGAACTTCAATTATGATAATTTTGGCGAATTTTAGATTCGAACAAAGACGCTTCTAAGGAGGCTTTTTTTTTCGGTTGCAATCACCTTGTATGCACTGAATGCTATCAGAAAAGCAAAATAACGATTTTGAAGCAAAATAACGATATCGCGACACGGGCTAAGTGGGCATACACAGTTGCTTGTCCGACTTGTACTAGGACAAGTCGAGTCATTATGACAAGTGGAGAAAATCGTCGGAAAGATTGGTTGCAAGGTTTATCAACCAAATATTTTGTCAAATTTAATTATTTGTTTATCTAGATTTCTTAAAAGAATTGCCTGAAATGACATGCCAATTAGAAGAAATGAATAAAACTGGATATCGTTTTTGTGATGAATGCAAGAAATTGGTCTGTATATTTTCATTGACCCAATGAAAAAGTTGTTTTAGGATATTGTTGACGAAATGTATCATTGTAATAAGTGCTTGTTGCAGGTTTGTGCTCGTTAATATACAATTTATTTTCACAATTTGAGCTATGTGGCAACTGTACCTACAAGAATCATCGTTCACACAAGGCAATCACACTTCTGCAAAAAGAGGTAAAAGCACAGTCAGCAGAGTTTTTTTTTTAAAATTCATATTTTTTTTAGGCGAGTTTAATGTCTCACGAGCTTTGCTATCTTTCAATCAGTGAGGTTCAAACGTACCATCAATTATTTTCTGGGCTTCACAAGGAATTGTCTGATGGCCTTCAAGGATTTGATCAAGTAATTTTTGCTAATGACCAGGTTTGTTAATCCATTTAAATTTTTCTTTAGAAGCTGTTGAAAAAGAAAAGAGATCTCACAAATGCGTCGACCTTTGAAGATTTAAGAGAGAAACATAAAAAGTGCACGTAAGCAACTTTCAGTTTTTCTCTTTTTTCAATTTTTTTTTTCTACAGAGAACTGAAGACGGATTTCGAGAAGTGCTCCGAAGAATACATGCCCCACGTACGCAAATACGAAAAAAGAGTCCAAGTGAGTGGAATTTGTTTTGCTAATTTTATTTTTGCCTTAGGAATTGATGAAAACTCTCGATGATGATCCAAATTAAGCCATATCTTTTTACATTCCCTTTTGCATCTAACTTTGTTAGTTTTTATCTTATGATCTAATTTTGTTAGCTTGTGATTTTGGTATATGATGTTTACACTTTGCAAAGTTGTTATAAGGTCAATAAAGTTGCTATAATTGTTTGTTTTATGATTTAGCATCGATTGTAGCTGGTTTAGTTGATACCTTTGAAATTAATTTTATAATATTAACTAAATTTTTTGTGTATACGACATTTTATTTAGAAATGAGGGTATTCGAGTCGTTGAACTGCATCCTCTGCAAGAGACCGTGTAAGTCTCAGCTTTTCCTTTAAAAATTCAAGGTCTTTTGTTACTACAACAGCTACCTAGGTTTTTGTTAAGAATATAAAAATTTCTAAGGTTTCCTTTAGTTGTGCCGATTGCGGGACAGCCTCGATCTCCACGACTTTTGGCTTGTGGATCGGCGATTTGTCATGAATGCTTTGTGAAAGAGAAACGAGAAAAAAAAAACCCCCCCCACAGAAAAGAACTCCTCTCCCTTAACCAGTTTTTTTTTATTCTTTTTTTTTTTTTTTCTTTTTTTTAAAAAAAATTTAATAGTTTTAGTTTGGGTGTGTTATCACAAGATTCTTTGACGCTTTCTCCGATTTTGGGTGGATATTTTACTCGTAAAGGTTGTCTGGTTACTACAATTTTTATGAAAAATTTTATTTAGTTATTCAAAATCCCTGAGTGCGTAATTTGTCATGAAAAGTGTGATTTTTAAAAAGCTTCTTGGTATTGATTTGTTAGTTTTAGATGTAAATCAGGTCGAGCTGAAGAACTCGTTGGTTCTTGCTTGCAAACAGATGATATGCATGGAATGCTACCAGAAGACACGGGGTTTAAATCAGAAGGAGAATAATCACTTGCCCGACTCGCTGCCTAATGCCTAACTTATATAATATCACTTGCTGATATATGGAATAATCAATTTCACGGTACAAAAATCCTTTAAAATGTATTTATCATAGTATTTAGTGTTTATGTTACGTTCGAAACGGAACAATTATACTGTACATAGTACATAGTACGTTTCCATTGAACAAAAACTGATTTTAGATAAATACGAAGAGAAACTCCGTTCAGTTTCGGACGCTTGTTCCGTTTTGGATGTAACATTTATACTTTTGCACGTATAAATGTAATTAATACACGGTTTTTAGATTTTCTCAACGAATTGCTCGAAATGACACATCAATTGGAAGAAATGAATGAATCTGGATATCGTTTTTGTGATGAATGCGAGAAAATTGGTTAGCGACGTTTAAAAGGATAAAAAAAGAATGCATATTCTAGGATACTGTCAACGAAGTGTTTTACTGCAGGAGCTGTAATTTGAAGGTTTGCTTTTGTGCATCTTTACCAATAAGTAAAGTTTAGCTTTGTGTGGCACATGTACAATTGGGAAAAATTACCCTCATAAAGCGATGAGTCTTTTACAAAAGGAGGTAAAATTGAATTTTTGGGCTGGCGGATGAGATTTATGATTTTTCCAATCAAATCAGATCAAAACCTACAAAACATTATATCATAGTCTTCACAAAGAACTAATTGATGATATCAAGTTGTTTGAAGAGGTCAAACATTACGATCATTGTTCAAATTTTTGCTTTTAGAAGTTACTCCCAGAGGAAAAAACTACGGGAGGCTAATACTTTTGAAGAATTGCAAATGGAACACAAAAGATGCAGGTTGGTCTTTGAATAGGTTCTTTGTAATTTTTCTCATCAGGAAGCTCAATACGGATTTCGAATCATTTTCTGAAGATGAGGCAATCATTACGGCAATCACTTACGCAAATACGATACAAGAGTTAAGGTGGGTTAAATTTATGGATTAAAGAAATTTCTTTTTACTTCCAGAAATTGATTCAAATCCTCGATGAGTACAGGAAGCCATTTTAAAAAGTTCCAAAACATTTTGTTGGCATTTTCTTTTACTCTATTTTTTTGTTACAAAAATTACAAACTCTATTTTAATAAAGTTTCGTTTTTAACCAAAAATACGAGCTATTCGATAGCCGACAATGAGTAAATGACTATTTTAGCATCGAAAACTTCTTTGTAAGTACAGTCGACTTGCTTGATATAACGACTTGATATAGCGATTTGCTCAATACTCGACTTATACTTGCGGTCCCGGCCAAGTGCTTAACAAAATACCTTAAGTCGACTCTCGATATAACGATTTTTTTAATCGCTTTTGCACTAACTTTTGATTTGATACAACGATTTTGGTTTAATTGAAGGGTCAAGGGTTCAATTCCCCTCGGTTCCAAATTCCATTTATTTCTTTGCCATTCATTTCTTTACTTTATTACAATCAGAGTGATTACCAGATTAGATTTATTCTATCCACCATTTTTAGATTTCTTCTTTTCATTATTAAAGAAGGCACTCTCGCAATTGTGGGATCAATGATGGAAAAGACAAAAGGATTGGTCCTTGGTCTTGGTGTTATTGAGTGGACAGGTGGTGGAAGAAAAAAGGAAATGAACAAAAGAAAAACAAATGGGAAAAAGGGAGAGGAGCAAAAAGAATGGAAAAGAAAGAAGAATGGACATAGACTTAATTTTTTTGATTGGATATCTAAAGCTTTAAGAAGTTACGATTAATTTCATTATGTCCTCTGAACTTTGTGTCCATCTCCGCATCCATCCACATTGTTAAATTTTGTACAGGGCAGGACAGATCCTGAAGCCGATCAACCAAAAACCTGCTTAGGAGTCACAAGTACGCAAATATTGCTTGTAAATCTCACACTCGATCCCCTCGAGTGTGAGATCCGGGTACGATGCTCAGCGAGCGAATACGGGGCAATGCGCATTTGAATGAAGGGAAACGACAACCATCCGGCGTGCTGAAGGAAAAGAAAGAGAACGAACAGAATGAAATAAAGAAGTTGAATTCAATCAAAACGTACACTTTGTAATTTGAATGCGCAATTGACAAGTGGTGAATTGCATCCTCGAATAAAATAATTGAATAAAATTCTGCGTCGTATGGTATTAGGCTCATGTCATTTGGCCCCCTCAGCCTTCTAATCGTCCCTTTTAAGTTTTTCGTTGCTTTATCTGTTTACAGTCCTGTTTACATCCTAACCCCCTAATATCTTAACCAGAAACGTGCTTCCTTGGCGCAGTCGGCAGCGCGTCAGTCTCATAATCTGAAGGTCGAGAGGTCGAGCAACCCTCTCAGGGAGCAACCACTTTTGCTTTTTTGATAACTTTTTGTTAAAAACGGTAGAAATTTGTTTTTTTTATTCATTTTAGTTCGTATTGCCTATTTTCAAATTCCAGACATAGCCGGCTTTGTGAACTTTTGCTTTATCGAGAATCATCAGCACCGAGTGGCGACAATTCGAATACCACCAGAATACTCGCCATGGAAAGAAGACAGGCAAATGGGAAGAAGTTTGACTTAAATTTGAACTGTTTTGATTGAGTTTTATTTTGAAATCGACAAAATATTCTAAAGAAGGATGAAGTCTGTCGAGGAGAATGGATGGAAATGGCGACTTTCATTCGATCGGTTGAGGGTCGGAGGCGATCGTCATTGTGAGTTACTACAATGAATTTGCACATGCTCGGTTAACGTTTGCCTTTATTTTGAACCGAAAGAATTGAAAAAATGATTAGTCAGCTGAAAAAAATCCTTTTCGAAACCCTCCTTACATTCAGTGACGAAAAATGGCAGATCGCCGTGGGGTACCTGTGGCAAGCTCATTCCGATGGCCAGTAAGGGTCAAAAATTAGCTCTGGCCAAGAAAACTTTAATGTATTAATGATGCTGAGAATTAGAATTAGAGCTTTCAAATGGTACAGTCAGCAAAAAAAAGTCTTGCACCATTGTCTCCCAAAGGCTGCTGGTTTGCTGATAATTCAGGTGTTTTGTTGATAATTCAAGTGAAATGCTGGCTGCCAAAGTCACGTCAAACGCGAAGATAAAAAATGAACGATTTTTCCGACGCCAGCCCCACTAATTCACTTTCAGTGAATCAGTGGTGCGGAATCACAGGGTCCTTCCACTATATGGCGAAATTCAGTCGAAACACATGTTGTTCGTTGTCTGCGTCCTTCCCAAATCATCAATTTTTATAGCGACACAAAGCAAAAAGCTTACGACACTTGGGATTCCCAAGCCGTCTCCGATCCAAGTACTAAACGAGCCCAATGTTGATTAACTTGGCAGATCGGACGGGATGCCGTGTTTTCAACGTGGTATGGTCGTAAGCGGTTGCCAGGTGGAAGACGAGTGAAATAGCCAAAGAACGCGAGATCCTTGCTGGCCGAAAAGGCGCAAGACCCTTCGGGTGTCCCGCAAGAGAAAACCGGATCCGGCACACGGCCGCTACACAAAGGGCGACAGAGACCTAAGACATCGGTTTAATTACCCAAGTTTGAGGATAATTCGAATGGTTTGCTGATAATTCAGGTGGCTTGTTGATAATTCAAGTGTTTTGTTGATAATTTGGATCATCATTGAGAGTTTTCATGAATTCCGAACGCCAAAATAAAATTAGCAAAACAAATTCAGCTCACTTTGACTCTTTTGTCGTATTTGGGTAAGTGGAGGATGTATTCTTCTAAGGACGTCTCGAAATCCGTCTTTAGTTCTCTGTATAAAGAAAATTAAAAAAAGAAAAACCGAAGATTGTTTACGGGCAATTTATCTTTTTTTTCTTAAATCTTCAAAGGTCGATGGATTTGTGAGATCGCTTGCCTCCTTCAACAACTTCTAATATTTCGAATTTTTTTCGATTCACTATCATGGTCAGTTACCAACCGAAACCATTGAAAAAATATTTCGAAAATTTTTATTAACAAATGTTTCAAAAGTAGTAACAGTTAAAGTGAACATTGAAAAAGTAATAACAGGTTAACAACGCAAAAGTAAAAAAATGTGCATTTAAAAGAACGCGAAAAAAATCTTTCAATTGTTTAAGATTGAATTCTTAAATTGCTTATAAGGAAAAAATGGGTCATTCTTTTTATTCCCCCTTCTTTGGTCCCTTCAATTACAGTATTTAAGGTAGATTAGATAAGAAAATAGAGCGAAGATTATGGTAGAAAGAGAAAGGGAACACGGTCTAGGAAACGGATTTGAGGAGAGCACCTTATCGTCGTCATCATCAACATCGTCGAGACTTTGAATCAGTTCCTAGAAGTAGAATGAAAATCTTTGTATAAATTTCAACCCACTTTGATTATTGCGCCATATTTCCGTAGATGTGGTATGTATTCCTCTGAGCACATCTCGAAATCCGTCTTCAGCTTTCTAAAATGGGACTTTTGCTCAAAAATATCCCCAAACCCTTACGTGCATTTATCTCGTTTCTTCTTCAAATCCTCGAAAGTTGGCACATTTCTGAGGGCTCTCTCTTTGTCCAAAAGTTTCTAAAGAAAATTTAGCTTCTCCCAAATCAATGAACCTTTCCATTAAACTAGATAGTATTGAAAACAGTCCCCTACCTGTTTAAATCCTTCGATATCACCATGGAGTTCCTTGTGAAGATCCGGAAACAACAACTCGTAGGTATTGATCACGCCATTTGAAACTTCACGAAGCTTGTCTGAGACTTGATTAACCTAAAAAGCAAAATCTTCAATATTAGTCTATCTGTTACCTCTTCTTGCAAAAGAACCATTGTCTCGTGTTGATGATGTTTCTTATACGTACACGTCCCACAAAGCTAAATTATTGGGGAAATAAGAAACAAAATGATCCCGACCTGCAAAGTGCACTCGTTGCAGTGGAACATTTCGCTGATACTGTCCTGATAGATTTATTAATGTTAGTTCTTTTTAATCAAACAAACCACTTTCGCGCATTCATCACAAAAACGTTGTCCCGCTTCCCCCATATCTTCCAATTGTTGCGTCATTTTTGGCAGCTCTTTCAGAAAATCTTAACCACAATTATAGATTAAATGCCACTATTTAAAAATTACCTTGAAGCCGGTCCCTTTTAGAATCGCCGAACGTAGAATCGCGAAACGTACCATTACAAAGTGGGCATTTGATCGTATACATTTCCCCTTCTTCTACTTCTTCTACTTCTTCCTCTTTTACCCGTGTCTTCAGGTAGCACTCAGTGCACAGAATGTGATTGCAACTTAAAGCACGGGAGCTTTTTTCACCCTCATGTGAATCTAAAATGACGATCATAAGCCAAATTGTGCCAAGTGTCAAAACTTACACTCCTCCTGACAAATTCTGCACTCAGGAAGTTTGAATGGCTAAGAAAGACAATTTTGTTACTGAGAAAAACATGGGCAAACCCTCACAAGTAGATATCCACCTAAGATTGGCGAAAGCATCAAATAATCCGATGACAGAACATCTGAACTCCAAATTATAAAGATTTTCTTTTACCCTGGCAACGTACCAATTAGAAAGTAGGCAAAATTCGGGTTGTCAAAGCATATTTCTGAATCACATTGATGCTTTCTTTCGTCTTTCTCCAAAGATTCCTCTTTCTCGAAGCATTCATGGCACATCGCTAATCCACAATTCAAATGCCGTGGAGATCGAGGTTGATTTGCGATCGACACAACTAAAGAACAGGCTGATACAAAAATCAACTCCAAACTTGGTCAAATTTCCTAAAATTTCAACCCTTACACGGCTGTTCGCAGAGGATGCAGTTGAGCGACTCAAATACTTTCATACCTAAAAAGAAGTATTGTCTCCTGAAGTAAATGTAGATAGATTAAAAGGCAAAAATTCCTTTTCGATTCAAAACCACGTAAAATATTTGAACAGGCAATTATTACGAAAAATTTTATTGAAAAAGAACATTAAAAAAATAACAAATTCCCAGCCATGTGACAATAAAATTATCAACTACCAATCTTGATTCTTCCCCCTTTCGAGAGTTCGAATCAATCCCTAAATGCGATGCGTTTTCAGCAAAATTCTTAGCCCACCTTAATCTTTGTGTTGTATTTGAGCAAATCTCGCATATATTCTTCTGAGCACGACTCAAAGTCCGTCTTCAGCTTCCCAAAAAGAGAAATATTTTTCCTGTTGTATCAATCAAAAACTCATATGCACTCTTTGTGATCCTTCTGCAATCCTTCGTAAGTAACAACAGCCGTAAGAGTATCGACTTGGTTAATAAATTTCTAAATGTGAAGTTTGCTAATGTAAGCGTTTTACCAATGTAAGCATTTTACCTCCTCAAATAAGTGGATACCATTAATAAGTTCGTTGTGAAGAACCGGGAACACCGACTTGCTGACCTCACCAAACGAAACACAACGAAGCTTCTCCGACATTTGATTAACCTAAAAAATTGAGTTTTCTACCAGTTTGGTGTTACCTCATTTTCTAAAAGAGACATTGTTTCGTGAGATCGATGTCTTCTGTGAGTGCAAGTGCCGCAAAGCTAAGATTTTTTAAAATAATATTCCCAAAAAAATACCATTAACCTTAAACACGCATCCGTTGCAGTGAAACATTCTATCGACAATATCCTATAAATATGCATATATTTTGTGTTAAGAAACAAAAATAAATCACCAATCCCTTGCATTCCTCACAAAAACGATATCCCGTTTTATCCATTTCTTCTAGTTGACGAGTCATTTCAGGCAATTCGCGTAAGAAATCTAGAAATGGTCAGGTTATAAAATACGTTCTTCGTACCTTTTAAGACATTCAACGGGTGCTAATGCTTGGGCAAATCGGTATTTGCCCAAGCATTAGCACCCGTTGAAAAGCGGAGCTTGCCACAAATTGGACAAATAACTACCGTAAATACTGTAATAGTGCCCCACGCGCCTGGTACAGTCGCGTAGTCGCAAAAGTTTTTCAGTATTTCATTTTTCTAAAGCACCCGTACTTTCAAAAAATGCGTCTTTGGTATCAAAAAATAGCCCTGAATTTCAGCTATTTTTTGATACCTAAGCGCCCATTGTAGCATAAACCAGTGTCGAGAAAAACTCGTTCAAAGCTAGACTACGCAACAATCCACACCGTCATTATGGGGGTGGGGTACTACTACAGTATTTACGGTATGTATTTCCAAGTTTCTTTCGTCGCAGCATCGTTATTTGCCTGTAGAATACTTCCATGTCATTCATGACAGATGATGAGATTACAAAGGAAAATAAATGATTTCTTGTTATGCAGTTGCAGTTGAGCGATTCGAATATCTCGATATCCTTCAGTGACTTCATTTCTAAAGACAAAAATATGGTCAAGAGAGCAAAGTAAAGAAAGAATCACACAAAAAGTAAAACGGGCAGTAAATGGTACTCGCAAAACTTCAGAAAAGTCGAGAAATAGCAGACTCACAGAATTTATAAATGAAAAGATATTTAGGCATCGACGGGAAAATCCACACGGTGGTCCACAATTATGACAACCAGTTTTTGGAAAACTATGCCAGAAAAAGATCCTTATTGGCCTTCGGAATGAGCTTGCCGTGTACCCCACGGCGATCTGCCATTTTTCGTGATTTGAATGTAAGGAGGGTTTCGAAAAGGATTGTTTTCAGCTGACTAATCATTTCTTCAATTCTTTCGGTTCAAAATAAAGGCAAACGTTAACCGATTGGGAGTGGGTTAAATTATGCCAGAAAAAGATCCTTACTGGCCTTCGGAATGAGCTTGCTGCAGGTACCTCACGGCCATCTGCCATTTTTCGTGGTTTTCTAAGTAAAAATTTGAGCGAGAAAAACAGGAAATAGGATCAAATTTGTACATATTTTATCAAAATTAATTTAATTCAATACTTTAAAACCAAAATAACAAACCAAAAGTGCCTCAATCAGCAGAACCAGACATCCCGAAAAACGCGAATTTCACTACTCGTCGCAAAATGGTAGTTTGCAGCAAGTTTTGAGTCCGTTTTAACAATGAAATTGCACATGCTCGGTTCACGTTTGCCTTCGCTGCAAGGAACCGTGTAAGTTTTAAATTGGCCAGCTTTACCGCATTGAAAGGTTTATAACACCAAACTTTTGTATGTAACTTTTGTAGGTGTGCCGATTGCAAGACAGCCTCGATCTCCACGGCTTTTGCTTTGTGCATCGGCGATGTGTCATGAATGTTTCGAGAAGGAAAAGTCGTTGAAGAAAGAAGAGAAGAATGATGCTGAGAATTAGAGCTTTCAAATGGTATATGATACTTGCTACTTTCTGAATAGAGTTTTTTGGAAAATAATAGTTTTCCAAAAACTGGTTGTCATAATTGTGGACCACTCTGTGGATTTTCCCGTCGATGCCTAAATATCTTTTAATTTCTAAATTCTGTGAGTCTGCTATTTCTCGACTTTTCTGAAGTTTTGGGAGTACCATTTAGTGCCCATGTTACTTTTTGTGTTATTCCTTCTTGACTTTGCTCTCTTGACCATATTTTTGTCTTTAGAAATGAAGTTACTCAGGGATATCAAGATATTCGAATCGCTCAACTGCATTCTCTGCAAGGAACCGTGTAAGTTTTAAATTGGCCAGCATTACCGCATTTAAAGGTTTATAACACCAAACTTTTGTATGTAACTTTTGTAGTTGTGCCGATTGCAAGACAGCCTCGATCTCCACGACTTTTGCTTTGTGGATCGGCGATGTGTCATGAATGTTTCGAGAAGGAAAAGTCGTTGAAACAAGAGGAGAGGGAACATAAATGCGATTACGGCGAAAAATGCTTCTACAATCCCAACTTTGCTTACTGTGTGATTGGTAAGAATTTTTGATCTCTAATAACCGATTACGAAGGCTGATTTCTTTCTTTTAGATGTGCTATCACAGGATTGCTTCACTCTTTCGCCGATTTTGGGCGGATATTTGCTTATGAAGGTTAGCCTGTTATAGTTGGTTTTTTTTTCAAAAAACGTTTAGCCATTGGTCAATCCTGAATGCCCAATCTGTCACGATGAATGTAAGTTTTGATTATGATTGTAGGTGGTTGTGAACTTCAATTATGATAATTTTGGCGAATTTTAGATTCGAACAAAGTCGCTTCTAACAAAGGTTTTTTTTCGGTTGCGATCACATTGTATGCACTGAATGCTATCAGAAAAGTTTGAAGCAAAATAACGATACGACGACACGGGCTAAGTGGGCATACACAGTTGCTTGTCCGACTTGTAACGCAAACACTCAGGCAAGTGGAGAAAATCGTTGGAAAAATTGGTTGCAAGGTTTATCAACCAAATATTTTGTCAAATTTAATTATTTGTTTATCTAGTTTTCTTGGACGAATTGCCTGAAATGACATGCCAATTAGAAGAAATGAATAAATCTGGATATCGTTTTTGTGATGAATGCAAGAAATTGGTCTGTATATTTTCATTGACCCAATGAAAAAGTTGTTTTAGGATATTGTTGACGAAATGCATCACTGTAAGAAGTGCTTGTTGCAGGTTTGTGCTGGTTAATATCCATTTTTTTTACACAATTTAAGCTATGTGGGAGCTGTATCTACAAGAATCATCGTTCACACAAGCCAATCACACTTCTGCAAAAAGAGGTAAAAGCACAGTCAGCAGAGTTTTTGTTTTTAAAAAAATTCATGTTTTTTTGGGCGGATTTAATGTCTCACGAGCTTTGCGATCTTTCAATCAGTGAGGTTCAAACGTACAATCAATTATTTTCTGAGCTTCACAAGGAATTGTCTGATGGCCTGCAAGGATTTGATCAGGTAATTTTTGCTAATGATCAGGTTTTTTAGTCCATTTAAATTTTTCTTTAGAAGCTGTTGAAAAAGAAAAGAGATCTCACAAATGCGTCGACCTTTGAAGTTTTAATGGAGAAACATAAAAAGTGCACGTAAGCAACTTTCAGTTTTTCTCTTTTTTCAATTTTTTTTTCTACAGAGAACTGAAGACGCATTTCGAGAAGTGCTCCGAAGAATACATGCCCCACGTACGCAAATACGAAAAAAGAGTCCAAGTGAGTCGAATTTGTTTTGCTAATTTTATTTTGAACTTAGGAATTGATGAAAACTCTCGATATTGATCCAAATTAAGCCACATCTTGTTTACATTCCCTTTTGCATCTAACCTTTTTAATTTTTATGTTATGATCTAATTTTGTTATACGATATTTACACTTTGCAAATTTGTTATAAGGTCAATAAAGTTGCTATAATTGTTTGTTTTATGATTTAGCATCGATTGTAGCTGGTTTAGTTGATACCTTTGAAATTAATTTTGTAATATTAACTAAATCTTTTGTATGGGCGACAGTTTGTTTAGAAATGAGGGTATTCAAGTCGTTGAACTGCATCCTCTGCAAGAAACCGTGTAAGTCTCAGCTTTTCCTTTAAAAATTCAAGGTCTTTTGTTACTGCAACAGCTACCTAGGTTTTTGTTAAGAATATAAAAATTTCTAAGGTTTCCTTTAGTTGTACCGGTTGCAAGGCTGCCTCAATCATCACGACTTTTATTGTGCGGTTTAGCGATGTACCATGAATGCTTTGAGAAATAGAAACAGCTGAAGAAAGAAAAGAGAAAACACCAATGCAACAGAAAGGACTGCTTTTCCAACTTGCATACTTTCTAATTGGTAAGTTGTGTAGTTCAAAACAATTTCATAGTTTTAGTGGGGTGTGTTATCACAAGATACTTTGACGCTTTCTCCGATTTTGGGTGGATATTTGCTCATAAAGGTTGTTTGGTTGCTACAATTTTTATGAAAAATTTTATTTAGCTATTCAAAATCCCTGAGTGCGTAATTTGTCATGAAAAGTGTAAGTTTTAAAAAGCTTTTGGTATGGATTTGTTAGTTTTAGATGTAAATCAGGTCGAGCTGAAGAACTCGTTGGTTCTTGCTTGCAACCAGATGATATGCATGGAATGCTACCAGAAGACACGGGGTTTAAATCAGAAGGAGAATAATCACTTGCCCAACTCGCTGCCTAATGCCTAACTTATATAATATCACTTGCTGATATATGGAATAATCAATTTCACGGTACAAAAATCCTTTAAAATGTATTTTTCATAGTATTTAGTGTTTATGTTACGTTCGAAACGGAACAATTATACTGTACATAGTACATAGTACTTGTTCATTGAACAAAACCTGATTTTAGATAAATACGAAAAGAAACTTGGTTCAGTTTCGGATGCTTTCCTTCGCATGTAACATTACTTTTGCGTATAAATTTAATTTACACGGTTTTTAGATTTTCTCAACGAATTGCTCGAAATGACAAATCAATTGGAAGAAATGAATGAATCTGGATATCGTTTTTGTGATGAATGCGAGAAAATTGGTTAGCGACGCTTAAAAGGATAAAAAAAGAATGCATATTCTAGGATACTGTCAACGAAGTGTTTTACTGCAGGAGCTGTAATTTGAAGGTTTGCTTTTGTGCATCTTTACCAATAAGTAAAGTTTAGCTTTGTGTGGCACATGTACAATTGGGAAAAATTACCCTCATAAAGCGATGAGTCTTTTACAAAAGGAGGTAAAATTGAATTTTTGGGCTGGCGGATGAGATTTATGATTTTTCCAATCAAATCAGATCAAAACCTACAAAACATTATATCATAGTCTTCACAAAGAACTAATTGATGAAATATCGAAGCAGATTGTGATCTGCAAAGAGGTCAAACATTACGAACATTGTTCAAATATTTTGCTTTTAGAAGTTGCTCGCAAAGGAAAAAAACTACGGGAGGCTAGTACTTTTGAAGAATTGTAAATGGAACACAAAAGATGCAGGTTGGTCTTTGAATAGGTTCTTTGTAATTTTTCTCATCAGAAAGCTTAATACGGGTTTCGAATCATTTTCTGAAGATTGCATGCCTCACTTTACGCAAATACGATACAAGAGTTAACGTGGGTTAAATTTATGGATTAAAGAAATTTCTTTTTACTTCCAGAAATTGATTCAAATCCTCGATGAGTACAAGAAGCCATTTTGCAGATCCTAGTCCTGTGAACCATTCCGAAGGCCAGTAAGGGTCAGCTTGTACAAGAAGTACAAGAAGAACAAAACGTTCCGAAACATTTTGTTGGTATTTTCTTTTACTCAATTTTTTTGTTACAAAAATTACAAACACTATTTTAATAAAGTTTGATTTTTAACCAAAAATACGAGCTATTGGATAGCCGACAATGAGTAAATGACTATTTTAGCATCGAAAACGTCTTTGTAAATACAGTCGACTTGCTTGATATAGCGCTGCTTGATATAACGATTCGATATAACGATTTGCTCGATACTCGACTTATACTTGCGGCCCCGGCCAAGTGCTTAACAAAATACCTTAAGTCGACTCTCGATATGACGATTTTTTTCATCGAGAGTCGACTTAACGTATGATTTGTTAAGCACTGCGACCGAAGTTGGTTTTTTTTTGGTTCAATTGAAGGGTGGTCAAGGGTTCAATTCCCCTCAGTTCCAAATTCCATTTATTTCTCTGCCATTCATTTCTTGACTTTATTACAATCAGAGTGATTACTAGAATAGATTTATTCAATCCACCATTTTTAGATTTCTTCCTTTCATTATTAAAGAAGGCACTCTCACAAGTGTGGGATCAATGATGGAAAAGACGAAAGGATTGGTCCTTGGTCTTGGTGTTATTGAGTGGACAGGTGGTGGAAGAAAAAAGGAAATGAACAAAAGAAAAACAAATGGGAAAAACGGAGAGGAGCAAAAAGAATGGAAAAGAAAGAAGAATGGACATAGACTTAATTTTTTGATTGGATATCTAAAGCTTTAAGAAGTTACGATTAATTTCATTATGTACTCTGAAGTTTGTGTCAATCTGCCCATCCATCCACATTGCCTTGTCCATTCAATTACCCATTCTTTTCCCCCATTCTTCTCTGTGATTTACTCACTCAATTCCCCTTTTTCCCTTTCACGGTCATGGCCATTTCCATTCAAAAATTCATTCATGATTTCCTTTCAACTTCAGTTTTTCAAAGCAATAAAAATTCATGTGCAATTTATTTATTTTTTTTATTACAGATTTACAGATTTATTTAATACCTTTGTTTCAAATCGATAAGTACTTTGAGTCCGTAAACGCCCACTTTCTGGCATACTTAAGATATGATTTTTGGGTTAATGAGAAACACACACATTCTGACACACTGAGGTTTTCATTTTGATCCTTGAAAATACGTAACAAGTGTGCCAAGAGAGCACAATGTCTCGAGCTTCTCAAGATCTTCCCAAATTTTTTCATTTTCCATATTTTCATATTCAAAAGCTTTACCAAAGCACTTATCTTCTAGAACTTGTTTCTTTTTATTTCCTTTCTTTTCTTTTCATTTAATTTCTTTCCCTTCTCTTCCCTTTTCTTTCCTTTTCTTTTCTTTTCTTTCCTTTTCTTTCCTTTCCTTTTCTTCCCTTTTCTTTCCTTTTCATTTCTTTCTTTTCCTTTTCTCTCCTTTTCCAAATCCATTCCCTCACAAATCATCCGTTCTTTTCGTTTTGAAAAGCCAAAAAACTTTTGAAGTTTTTCCAGAGAAAGGATTTGAAGTGCTTTTGACAGCTTATCGTTTCTTTTGATTTCAAAATTTTCAAAAACTAAACACCGGCAAAGATTGGATGTACTTTGGGCTCTTTGTGCGTCCTTCGTGCGCCCTTGGTGCGCCCTTTGTGCGCCCTTGATGCGCCCTTTGTGCGCCCTTCGTGCGCCCTTTGTGCCTCTTTATACTCTCTTTTACTCTCTTTAACCTCTTACTCCTTTTCTCTCTTTGTCTCTCTTTCCCTACCTTTACTCTTTTATACTCTCTTTGTACTCTCTTTGTACTCTCTTTGTACTCTCTTTGTACTCTCTTTGTACTCTCTTTGATACTCTCTTCCCCTTCTAGTGCATTGAATTCTTCATTTTTCTCAAAACCTCAAAAAAATTGAGGATGTCAGTGCAGTGAAGGGATTTGTTTACAAAGAGCACAAAGTACATTCAATTCAAATGTTTCTTTGAGTAAAATTCAATTTTCTTTTCCTTTTTTGTAAATTTTAATCTTTTCTTTCAATCTTTCCAAGATCTGAACGTTTTTTTTCCTTTTACAAAAGGTATTCGGGTTCGTTTCATCGATTTTCCGGGGGGAAATTTAGCACCATAAAACTTTCGCAAACTTCTTTTGAGCAAAAGCAAATTTAGAAATTTTCATTTTACTCGCAAATTTCACTCAATTTTTATCGATATTTCTGTTCGAAATTTCCTCTAATCCATTCACTTTTTCTTAGCATTCTTTGTGAAAATTTTTGAATGAAAATGAAATTTCTCTGATTTTCCTTTTGTTCGTTTAGTCACACCTTTTATTTATTCAAAAAAAAGCTTTTCACAAATGGGGAAATTTTAGAATCGAATTAGAATTGAATTTTAGAAAAAAGTGAGAATTTTATTCGCTAAACGGAAACCTTTGTTGGTTATCCGGGATTTCTGGATTGCTGGAATACTTTGTTTTCTATTTTTAAGCTTTCTTTTCTATTTTTAAACATTCGATAGCTTTCTTTATGGTGTTTCTGCTGAAATTAGATAGCCTAAGATCACCTTATCTAATTTAATTCAACACTTTTCAAAGTTCTTAAAAACAAAAACCTTTCTCCCCGGCCGGGAATTGAACCCGGGTCTCGCATGTGACAGACGCGGATACTAACCACTATACTACCGAGGATCTACCGAGGCTCCTCGAGATTAGCTTATAAACTGGCAAAGCGTCCAAAAATACATTCAAAACATTCAAAATACGTTGTTTAATGGAGAGCTGGAAGAGCAAATCGCTCAGGAGCACTGTGGATTATGTGCAGGGCACTATAAACTACAAAAATGACGAACTGTCACACTATAAACGCTTCTAACTTGCTTCAAATCTACCGCATTCACATGATCTATCGCTCAAAAAATAGAGAATCGCAAGAGCTTTCGAATGAACTAAAGCACACTCAAAAATATCAATTCTAAAGAAAGTTGAAGTGGTTCGATGGCTTCAACTACGCGCGAGTACCGACCGTTTTGAGTCAGGACTGCAAACCACTGTAACTTTCTTTAGCATTCATATTTTGAGTGTGCTTTGATCCATTTGGAAGCTCTTGAAGTCTCTATTTTTTTGGGGGAGAAACGTTTTTGTTTTTAAGAATCCGCTTGATAATTAGAAGCTTTTAAGAATCCGCTCATGTGATTGCGGTAGATTTGAAGAAAGTTAGAAATGTTTGTAAGTCTCCGTTTGTAGTTTGTAGTGCCCAGGTCTAGTATTTATTTGAAAGTCGCCGAAATACAATGGAAATAGTTTCACACAATCTTTTAAATCCTTTCCTTTTATTGGCTTTGCTTTACTCGATTGAGATCTCATTGAGAATCTGTTTCGTTGAAGTTTGCCGTTTACCTAGCTCAAATTTCCTTTAATTTGTCCCAAATCGAGATGTTTTCGAAGAAATCCAATATTTCTTCTTCTTCTTCTTTTTCTTCTTCTTTCTTTCTCTCTTTTCCTCATTTCATTCATCCCGAAACGGTCCTTGAATGCAAAGGAAACAGTTCGAAACAGGAAATGATCTCTTCTCTCGACATTTCTTCAACTCACTTCATTTCCCCATCATTCATCCAAAATGTAAACCAATTTCTTTTGTCATTCTTAAATAAACGACAATATTCTTTTCAGAGAATTGTTCAAATTGTTGAAATTGTTGAAATTCTTGGAATTCTTAGAATTGTTGCGTTTTAAGGCCAAATCTCATTTTTTTTTCTTCACTTAAAGACAGCAAAAGCCTTTCATATGTCGATTTTTGTCTTATTTTTACATTCTTTTCTTACATTTAAACCTTTCATCAGGCTCAAGAGAAATGTACTTTTAAAACTCTATTTTTAGTTTTGTAAAAGAAACTTATTGCAACTTATTGCATCAATCCAAATTATTATTTCACTTGCCGATGTTTTGCTTTTGTTTTTTCTTGACTTACAAGCTGTTCATTGTTTGGTAAAAACCTGACAATTAGAATATCAACAGCAATTAAAATTGACAAATTGAAAAAAGACACTATTTCCTTCTTTTTCTTTTTTCTTTCTTTCTTTCTTCTCTTTTTTCTTTCTTTCTTTCTTTCTGTCTTCTTCGTCTCTTTCTTCTTCTTCCCATTTCTCCGTCAACTTACTTCCCTTGATTATTAGCTGAAGTGAGAATTTCCATTTTCACAAATTTTGCATGACTCGGGATTTCTTCTAGAGCTGACGTTTTGAAGTTACTTTCTGTTAGCCAACAGATCAGGGTCAGGAAAATACCTAAAGAGAAATTGGTCATTAACAATAAGCCACGAGAAAACTTGAGAGTTTTTCTGGTACTATTGGGTTGGACGAAAAGTTCGTGCTGTTTGTTTTTGGGAGAGGGTTTCAAACTCAATTAATTTCGACATGTAATAGCTCGTTCGAAAGCTAATTATCAAGCGGATTCAATGAAAAAACCGCTTACTATTTCATTGCACTTTAAAGTTTTTTATAGAGGTTTTAGTAGAGATGGTCAGATCCTAAAGTTCGGAGGGACGAGCCAGAACAATTTTACACGTGTTTCTAGGTTATTTTTGCATGTTCCAGAGTAATCAAATACGCTTAATCTATTGGTGATATTTTTAAAGTGTTTTGAATAGTTTTCACTTTGGATTTGGCCTCATTTTCTAGCATTGCGGCACTGCAAAAGTTATACGTTTCAACGTTTTTCAACTAAAAAGTCACAAAAACAAAGCTTCCGCCACAGAAAATGCTGTTAAAAACGTAACTTAGTTTTATCCTCTTTGTTTCCTGCAAAAACAAACTCGCTCACACCAGAAAAACGCAAAAAAATGAAATTTCGCGCAAATTGGCAAGGGTACGGTAGTTTTACCACGCTTTAAAGCGCCAACCGCCAACGGTAGTCTCGGAAAAACGTCGCAAGTGTCCATTTTCCCCATTTTCCCCATTTTTCCCATTTTTTTCATTTTTTCTCATTTTAATTGGAATTCTTTTATTTTATAAGTTTATTTTTGTTTTTCTAATTGTAAAGTTCTTTACCTATCCCTTTGCAGGCCACTTTGAAAGTAATTGAACAATGATAATCGAATCTTTAGAGCTAAAGTCGATTTGGTCCCCAATTCTCAGTGCAATAGATTGATTAGCCCAGAACCGTATCATTGTTACGTCACACTCATTGGGGGCCACTCCTCCAGCTACCCGAGCAGTGGCCTTCCCTTTCCCCTTTCCCCCACACTCATCCACTCAATCCATTTCCAATCTAAATCCTCTCAAACTCCTTTTCTTTTCAAAGACACTTGAGAGAAAGTTTCCAAATTTGGAGAATCTCAATCCTTGAGAATATTTGCATTTGTACAGTTTTGGATTGAAAGAAATGAAAGAAATAGAAAGAATTGAATGAAATGAATGAATTGAGATCCCCGCCCCATTCTCGATCCTTTTCGAGTGCCCAATTTCAGTGAGATCGCCAAATTCAAACGTTGGATGAACTTTTAAAAAAAAATTATAACCAGATATGATAATTTTATTTGATATTTCCTATTGCTTAATGTATAATTTGTCTTTTTCATTTCCCCGTCAAAAGCTTTCTTTCAATTTTGCTCTTTATGCTATTGTAAACACACTCTTTCTAGAGCACTGAATGCTTCATTTGAATCCTTCATTTCTAGAGCACTGAATTCTTCATTGTGCTAAGAAGCGTGCGCTTATAGAAAAGCACAAAGTGCACGGCTTCATTGCGTGGATTTTGTGTGCTCCGTGCAAAGGCGCCTTCTCTAGGGCACTGAAGTCTTTCTTTTCTATAGAAGAGTACTGTGCACTAGAAAGAGTACGTTTACAGGGATTTGAAGCACAACACGTACTGCTAAAGCTTTGTCATCTGTTCGACCTTTTTTTTTCGACCTTTCTCGACCATCAATCTCACTCTTCTTTTCTTTTTTTTCCCGATTTTTGTTTACTCTTTAATCGGTCACTCTCATTCTTGACTAAAATTTGTTTTTTTTAAACTTAATAATCTATATTTCTAGATTCGAATTGCCCTTTTTCATCTAAATTGACAATTTCGAGATTCTATTTCGATTTTGAGGGATTTTGAGGGAAAACAAACGACAATGCGAGAGTTTTTGAGGATATTTTCAGGTTTGAAATTTTTGGAGAAATTAAGTGCTAACATTTAACAGTATTAAAATAGATTTTTCACGAGAAACATGATTTTTTTTTGCGTCTGGTCAAATACAAAGCTTTTTCACTGAATCAAAGTCAATCAAATAGCCTTTTCTCTACAGGAACCAAGTCTGTAGGGAAAAGGAACTAAATCTGTAGGGAAAAGGAACCAAGTCTGTAGGGAAAAGGAACCAAATCTGTAGAGGAAAGAAACCAAATCTGTAGAGATAAGGAACCAATCCTTTTTTTTTGTCTGAAAAACGATTTTTGATCAAAGAAAGTGTAGAAATTTGAAGGGAAATTTGTGGAAAATATTTGAATTTTTGAAATTTCTAGTTAGATTTTTATCTGATTGAAGTTTTCTTTGAGAAATTTTGTGATGAAACAAAAAAAATGAAATGACTAACGATAAAGAAAAGTTTGTTTTCTCTTTGTGCTCTCAAAAAGAAAAAGAAAACAAAAAAACGGATTTTGCTCTCAAAAATGTAAATATCATCTGACTAGCGCATTGAATTCTTTTGTTTTTTTTGCGAAAATGAAGAACTCAACTGAAGAACTCAATGCTACCGCCCTCGAAATTTAGCTTTTCACTAAAAGTTGACCTATTCTAGCGTAAACGTAAACTTAGAACACTTCAAACAGTCCGTTTTACCGTTTTCTTCAAAAAAAACCCCCAATTGACACCAAATTGACCAAATTTGTGAGTGCTTTTTTTCTTCGAGGCTAGTTTCTTCGAGTTTCTTCGAGGCGATTGACCCGTTTTCGGAAGAAATCGTGCGCAATTTGCATCGTATTTTCAAGAAAAATAAACAAAATAAAGCAAAAGAGGAGGTGAATTGAATGCGAAAAAATATTTGAATAAGAAACTCTGGAACTGAAAGAAATTCTGGAAATTTTCGAAGAAAAACGAATTTCAATTATCAGAATTGTACTTACAATTAAAATCTACAATTAATGTTTTAGTAATTGTAGATTTTAATTGTATGTAGAGTTTTTTTAACGATTTTCAGCGTCACTTTTGCTCTCATCGATCTCAGCCGGATATCTCTACGATCGATGGGGAAATGTCAATGATGATAATGCAGTGAATAGTGTTTTTGAGAGGTCAGAGCTAAAAGAAGACTTTGAATTCGCTGGGCCAAGAAGCGTGCGTTTATGCGTGGCGTACAAGCACAAAGCAAAAGGAAAGCCTTTCAGTGTGCCAGAAAACTCCATTTTAGTGATTACAAATTTCTATTAATCAAAAAAGGTTTTGCTGATTTAATGTTTTTGAATTTTTCAAAAAAAAGCAAAATGCTGATGGATTTGAATGAAGATCAAAGAGTCAAAGAGATCAAAGAGAAAGAGAGGAAGGCACACTAACCACTAGGCTATAAGCTGAGCTTTTTCTAGAGCACTGAATTCTTCATTTGGATTCAATTGTGCCAAGAAGCGTGCGTTTATGCGTGGCTCAGGCTCAGGTCAAAGATCTTTGATCTCTTTGACTCTCAAAGAGTCAAAGAGATCAAAGAGAAAGAGAGGAAGCCACACTAACCACTAGGCTATGAGCTGAGCTTTTTCTAGAGCACTGAATTCTTCATTTGGATTCAATTGTGCCAAGAAGTGTGCGTTTATGCGTGGCGTGCAAGCACAAAGCTAAAGAAAAGCCTTTTAGTGTGCCAGAAATGATGATAATGCAGTGAATAGTGTTTTTGAGAGGTCAGAGCTAAAAGAAGAATTTGAATTCGCTGGGCCAAGAAGCGTGCGTTTATGCGTGGCGTACAAGCACAAAGCAAAAGGAAAGCCTTTCAGTGTGCCAGAAACCTCCATTTCTTTTCTCGAGAAATCCCTTTTTCTCGAAATTCAAATGCCGATAACTTTGTGCGTTTTGCTGTTTAGAGCTTTTTGAAAACACTTTCTAAACATGCATTTTCAGGCCTTTCTTTTGTCACCAAACTCATATTGTAACTCGCGGGTGACTTGGCAAGGGAACCTTGTAAAATAGCTCTATGGAAAATAGGTTTTTCCATAATTTGCAAAATTTAGTTACACTGATATAATCAAAGGGGTTCTGATCTTAAATCCCTCAGACACTTGTCTCAATTTTAACTCGCGGGTAACTTGGGAAGGGTACCTTTGTTAGTTTTGAGTCTAGATTGATAAAAATGCCAAAAGAAAACGCCGGGATTCGAACCCGAGGCCTTTCGCTTACCGAACGGCAAACGCTCTACCAATGAACTATAGCGATACGTGTCTCATTGCCGCCAGGGTCGGAGCTTAGGCCAGATGGATTAGATGATGGGTTGCGGGCCCTGTTCATGCCTGTAACCATTGTTATCTATTACCATTCATGAGTATCACCTGGTTTGATATGGAAATCTGGTTCTGGGTCATCCCTGGAGCCTGTAGTTGCCGTTCATTTGACTCCGAGGTAAAAAGCTAACTTTTTGAAAAGTCAGGTCGGGCTAAGAGTATAGCAAGCTTAGCCTAGAACCTACTAAAAATCGTTGTACCAAGTCACAAGTACTGTACTTACCGTAATCTCTTTGCAGACCCCGTCCTCCACCGTCCTCTCCTCGTGGTTCCACCTCAAACCTTGGTTGTTTCCTTTGCACTCAATTATTATCTGTGACGAAACACCGTGTCGGTCTCTCTCAAAATCAGCTTCGAAATGTGCTCTACGAGAAGTGTCGCGTGCTTCCACAGGTCTTAAGGGTTTGTGCAAAATAATAAACCATTCTTGATAACATTTTGAATGTAAAATAGCATGATTCTAAAAACAATATGGAAATGAATTGAATGGAAATGAATTGAATGGAAATGAATTGAATGTTTAGGAACAATGTTTCACTTTTGTCGATCGATCGTTGCCGGAGATTTATTTCTCTTTGAACTACGATTTCTCATCGAAAAATGTGTGCGTTACGCTGAATTTGTGCGATGAAGCGAGGTGAGATCGACCTAGAAAAGTTACCGTACAAGTTACCGTTACAAGTTACAGTTACAAGTTACCGTTACAAGTTACCGTTACAAGCTACCCTTACAAGTTACCCTTACAAGTTACCATTACAAGTTACCGTTACAAGTTACCATTACAAGTTACAAGCTTAACCAAAAGCTTTGAAAGGACAAAGGCTACCGAATAAAGTAAAGGAATTCGTAAGTAGAAACGTTTGAATAGCTAGAATAGCTGAATAGCTGAATAGCTGAATAGCTGAATAGCTAGAATAGCTAGAATAGCTAGAATAGCTGAATAGTATTGTATTAAAAGATTCAGTCCATTCGCGATCGCCTCCCCTCCACCAACCCTTCCCCCTCCACCACCATCAACCACAACCGAACTTCCCCCCACCTCCACCAATTCCCTCCATTCCCTCCATTCCTCCATTCCCTCCATTCCATCAATGCCAGAAGAAAGAAGACCCGATCAGTCAGAGATCCCAAAAGGGACACCAATCACAATGACGGTTAGTTCATCTTTTCGTTTCGTTTTCAAAAGGAATTCTTTTTCTAGGACCCACCGCCGTCCATCCGTCCCCCACAAATCCCATCGACAATCCGCCAATCTCCCCCTTCTCCCCCTTCTCCACCCTCACCTCCATCACCACAAATCCCACAAATTCCCTATATTGAGACGGGAAATGGAAATGATCGAAGAAGAGAAAGAGAACGAGAGACATTGCAGGGGATGAAGGACAGGATTGGGCACAAGAATGAGAATAGAGAACAGGTGGGGGGAATGAGACTCGAGAAAAACCGAGAGAAAGGTTTAAAATTTAATATCTGTAGCTGGAGCAACTAATCTAAACAATAAAGATTCTAAAAAATGACGATAACATACAAAAATTGGTAGTTTTTTTTCATTTTATTTCTTTAACTTTTTCAAATTAATTTCAATTTCAAAGAATTTTTCAGTTGGAACAAAAGCGAATGACGTGTAAATTCTGCGAGCGAATGTTGGAAAACGCTAAACAGTACGCAGTGACGGCAAAAGTAAGGGGGAAACTGGGGGAATGATTTAATGATATTTATTTCAGTCAGACATCACCTCATTCGCCAACAACGCTTGTGCGCAAATGCAAAAGGGACGGACACAGGTTTATGAACAAATTAGGCATCAAAAATATCATTGAAATCGCAAAAGAATAGTAAATATTGTCTTAGAAATAGGATTGAAATCAAAAATTGATCAAAAATCAAAAATTGAATCAAATTGAATCAAAAAAAAACTTCATTAGAATGAATCCAAGAAAAAAAATTAATCCCTTAAACTTTATTTGAAACAATGAAATTGTAAAACTGTGCACTGTGCCTATCCAAAAAAGAGCCCCTTTCCGTGATTAGAAAGAGATTTGAATCCACCGCCGTCGGGCTCTTGTGGCGCAATCGGCAGCGCGTTCGGCTGTTAACCGAAAGGTCGATGGTTCGAACCCATCCAGGAGCGAAATTTTTTGCTATTTTCTAGAATTTGAAATTAATCTAAAGTCGAAAATCTCTCAGGATCAATGCTACGAGTTGGCCGATAAGAAAATCGACGAGTTGGCGAAATTCGTCGATCATCAAGTGATCGAGGCGCTTTGGTGTGCGGAATTGAATCATTGCTAGAAATCGAGATAGGCTAAACAAGATTTTATACGATAATTGAGTTTTATATACAAATTGAAAGGTTGATATTTATGTAAATTGATCGTTAACATTTTCATATGGAAATTGAAAAATTCTCGTCTTTCACCCACTTTCTCTGCTCAAATCTAGTCTTTCATTCGCGAGGTCGGGAAATTTCCGACCTCATTGTCGTCTTTAAACGAAAAAAACGTGTACTCCCAGTATTTTTTACTCATTTTGTGCAATCTTCACTTATTTCCTCAAAAAAGTTGTGAGCTTTGATGCGTATTTTGCTCATTTTTTCATGTTCTTGATATAATTTTCTTAACTTTATTTCAAAAACGCAAAATAGTAACAATAGCACGAATAAAATTATTTACAACACACATTTCATAATTTACAGAGTCTATAGAGAAAGATTATGATAATTCATATACTTATGGACAAATAGAATACCTAACCCAGCGGAACCTCGGTTTTCTTATTCGAATGCGGTGGGAGATCCAAATCGGCGTAGAGTTTCGCGGGTTGATCGCCAGCCTGAATAAAACAAGTTCAAATCGTTTTTGGTTCAATTCATTTCTTCGTCATTAGTTCCATTTTTAGCTCGAAAACCCCACCAGAATTCTTCCCTCGAAATCCTGCCATCGTGACCAATATTTTGCTTGTTCTTGTTGTTGAAACCATGGACCGAGTTTGAGTGTCTCTAAAACAAAAGCTATTAAATCTAAAACGTTTAGCAAATGAAAAATCAAATTTTAACGAACCTCCCGATTTCCACACATATTTCTCCTTGTAGGCACGTTTCGGTTGCGGGGAATTGCTTCGTGATGATGTCCGAGTCGGCGTCGATGCCCCTCCCGTTCCACCATTTCCATACCATTTCAAAGCTTGCGAAGTCGATTGGATACATCTAAATGCTCAGAAATTGCTTAAAAACCAAATAAACGAACTCTCGTTTCGCATCATTTGTCACATCATTGGTCGGCAAGGAGAGACTTCTTTCCACAAACGTCAATTGCATGAGTTGATTGAATAGCTAAAAAGCTCAAATTAGACTCCAACTCCAAGCTCCAGTCAAGTTACCTCCAAATGTTGCTCGGAGTGATTCACATAGTTTCCCAAATGAAGTGCCAGCTCTTGTGCGACCGTTTGAAATTGTTCGGTTCTAAAAAGAAAATTTGAATTGTTGAATAAAATAGAAATTGTAATTTTTTCGTAAAAAGTCAAAAAATTTCGCTCCTGGATGGGTTCGAACCATCGACCTTTCGGTTAACAGCCGAACGCGCTGCCGATTGCGCCACAAGAGCACGGCGGGTGGGGCGAAAGAAAGATTTGTGAGGGGAAAGGGGAAATGGCCTGGGAGAGGAAAGGGCAGACTCTGGGAAAGAGCAAAAAGAGCAAAAAGAGCAGAATTGACTTGGGAATAAAACAGAAATGGCTTTTTTGAAAAAGTTTCAATTAAAAATGTTTCAGGGTCACCTAGATGCAAATTAAGGAAGGTAATTTAAAAGCACAAAGATAGCTTCTTAAAACTATCGCCCCCATAAAAAATCCCTAACCGATTTGCCGCATTCTTCCCCGTCTCTCCATCATTTGCATACGGTGGACTGCTCTTTCTCGCCACAAATTCAAGTATCACCTAAAATATAGAAATTTGAATTTAACGAAGCAAAATTAAAATTCCATGAAAAGTTACCCCTCTAGCCATATCGAAATCTTCGGCCGAGAGCTCGCGTTTCGCCAAAATGGAAAAGAATCTTTCGAATTTCTGAACAAATTTTAAAGTTTCGCCTACAGAGAAGCTCAAATCGTAAAATACCTCTTGAAGATTATAAATAACGGTTTGATCCTGCTGAACCGGCCAAAATCGAGTGAGTCTCTTCAGCAATAGGGTTGGTTGATCGTTCTTCGCCGAAGTTGAAGGCATTTTCTGAAAAAAATGAGCAATGAAGCGATGCTTGAAACCAATTAGGTTTAGATGTTAGGTTTAGATTATAAAACCTTCAAAGATACCTCTTTATCCATTTTCTTCTCAATTGTTTTCACCGAAAGTGTCGTCTCTTTCATCAGACTTTTGAAATCGTTTACGCGAACCCCGGGTATTGGTTTCATTGAGGCTTTCTTCTGGAGATCTTCGTTATCTAAAAGCATTCAATAATACAATCGCTTATAGCAAACAGTATCTTTAATATTTAACTGACTTTGTTTCGAAATGATCACTTGTTGAATGTTCATCTTATTTCCACCAGCAGCCATCACCACTTGAGAGATCAATTTCGGACCAACATTTGGTGTCAACGATTCGGCGGCTCCTTGGCGAGAAACCTGAACAAAGTTATATGTTGTTGAAAAGACAATTTAACTTGCAAACCTAAAAGACTCAAAGTTAGCTAATTGATTTATATGTCTACATTCACAAGTACCAGAAAACCTTCTCACCTCAAGCATCACTTTATTTCGCCCGTTCATCAAATACGACGATAGGCATGTTGATTGGCGACTGTTCGGCTCGGCGAGGCTCACTCTTGATGAATGCGATGTAAAGGGGAACTAAAAACCATTATTTTAATATTATAAAATAGAGTCGAATAATTTTAGATCAAAATGTGGAACTAGTCTAAATCTAAATCATTAAGGGATAAAGCGTTGATATTTTTCTTTTAAAACCCGCTAACTTTTAGGATTCTCCATAGCATTTCACCAAAATGTGGACCCAAACACTGAAAAGAAAATGGCAAAAGAACGACTGGACGGGCGATGGGAAAAGAGGGGCCGGCCGTGTCTTTTCGTTTTTCGCGACTAGTCCCGTAGCCCGGTTAGCTCAGTCGGTAGAGCACCAGACTCTTAATCTGGCTGTCGCGGGTTCGAGCCCCGCATCGGGCTGATGCTTTTTGCCTTTTTTAAAAATTTTATCAAGGTTGCCTTGTTTTTAACATTAATCATTGATTGACTGATCACTAAATTAGAACTTCCTAGATTTCTTTAAAAATTTTTAAGTACTAACCAAATCCCATCTAGTTTTCGGATTCGGTGTTGCCCATTGTAGTTTTATTGTCGAATAGACTCCCTTGTTGATCACCAAATGGCTCGATGGTTCTAAAAATTGATTGATAAATAAAAGAAAGATTAAATCTAGACCAAGTAATTTGTGTTTTTGTAGCTCTCCAAGGACGATTTTCGGATGGAAAAGTTCGACATCATAGTTGACCGATTGTCCGGTAATGCTTTCTTCCTGAATTAACCAAGAATTTTGATTTTAAACAAAAATTTTGAATAATGATTAACATTATCCAAAAACTATACAGAGCATCAACAAGTACACACCTTCATCGGTATTCCGGTGATTGTCGTCGAGACAAGATTGTACAAATCGAGAGTGACAGCATGAACGACCATTTGAATAGCTTCCCCAGTGTCTACAGTGGAAAGGAGTTGAATCTTCACCAATTCGGTATCGTCCGCCTAGAATAAGGAAAGTTTTTAATAATGAAACGCGTTAGACTTGCAACCGCTATCAACTTGAAATCTTAATCAATTTACTCAAAGCAACTCTTCATAAAAAAATTTTGAACTTTTTAAGTCAGCGAAAAAGGAACACCCCTAACCGAGCCTTTGGTTCATTCCAAAGAACGGGAATTCGCGACTCGTCGCAAATCTTTTCCTCCTTTTCGCTGCCTCTCCTCACATGGGGGTATAGCTCAGTGGTAGAGCGCTCGCTTAGCATGCGAGAGGTCTGGGGTTCAATTCCCCATACCTCCATAAATCTTTTGCTTTTCGGGAATTTTTGAGTTGTGTTCGAGAAGAATGTGCTTTTCCAGTGGATCAGTTAGCTTTTTTTTCTTTTTAAGTCAAAATTTAAGCAAATGTCCTTAGATCTTGTAGCTTCGAATGACCTTGAAATCAGATAACCTTGAAAATTTTGGTTTTTTCTCTTTTCAAGTGTACAAAACTTGTGTTTCTCTCAGAAATTACTTAGATATGCCAGCTTTTTCCTTTTTAAGTCAAAATTTAAGCAAAAGTTTAAAAAAAAAACATCCGAATTTCCCAATAGAAAAGTCCCTTTTCCAAAGCGAAAAGAGCCAACAACGAAAGAGAGGGCGTGGCCAAACGCCGTCGAAAAGAAAAGGCTCCCCGTCGCACACTCTCCCATCCAGCCATAGCTCAGTTGGTAGAGCGGAGGACTGTAGAGAGGAGCAGCTATCCTTAGGTCACTGGTTCGAATCCGGTTGGCTGGAGTCTTTTTGCATTTTTAGATAATGGCCTGGGTAACATGATGCAAAGGGAAAAAACACCCCTTTACATTATTTTACAACATTTTCAAGCAAAATTTTCACCGATTGCATTGATTTGTTTTGAAGTGGATTGGCAAGATTTCCCGAGTAAACGTTGATGATATAGCAGCGAAGATCCTCGATTGGAGAAAAACTGAATAAAGTAAATTTTAAAAGAAAATCTGTGTCACAGACTTGTCATCACCCAAATTCTTAACAATCAAGTTACGACCCTTCACAATCTCCACAATGTCCGCCTCGAGACTTTTCAGCTCTTCTTCACTAAAAAGGATTTTAATATAACAGTATAAGTAAAAATTGTATACCTTTTCAATGAAGTCATTAGAACGATTGCGCCTCGATTTGGAATGAATGTTTGAAGAAATTGGTCTCTAAAAACATAAAAAAGTTAAGCGTTCATTAAATTTTTACCTCTTTTGCTTATTTGCTTCCAAATTTCCACCTCTCATCGGGATCGGAACTCGTGGGCGCTTGCCTAAAAAGGAGAGTTCGTTCTATATTACATTACTGTTCTTCATTTTTGCTACTGATACGTTTATTTCATTCTTGCTTTGATGCTCTTTGTTTTCTCAAAATTTCGTCATTGTTTCCCGCAAAATTCAGATCAAGGGGTCAGACAAAAAGGAAGGAAAGAGGGACTGTTTTCGGCGGTTATTTCGAAGTTTGTACTTCTCTCGTCGAATTCTCTCCAAAACCATATCTTTTTGCCTCTTTTTTCCGTTCAATTTTCCCAATTGGCTATTCGTCGTAATCTTTTCCTTGAGCGAACATCTGTCCCGAAGCTACTTCCAGAATTATTTTCGCTGGTTCTTGGTCAAATTCGGAACTAACATTTTACTAATCAGCTGCCTTACTAACAACTAACAATTCAAAGGTTTACATTAAAAGCAAGAAAATCACCTGATTTCTTGCAGATTTTTCATGAAAAATGAGCCGTCTACAAATAATTCTATCAAATTTAACCATGGAGATTCCACTATTATTGTACATGGTATCCTCATTTCTCAAGTTTCCCGTTTTTCAAAATTTGATTTACGAAAAAGTTTGTCTCAATTTGTACGATGTAAGTCGTTTTTCATTAACAAAACCATCTTTCTTAAGGATCATCGCCTTTGCACAAATGTCACCGCTTACTATGAGGATAAAAATATCCACGAAAAGGCGAATCACATTTATTTTCTCTCTTCAGTGTCTCTGCTTTCACCATCAATAATTATGACCTTATTCTTGGGTGCAGGTAGGTGAAAACTTCGTAAGTTTAATAATTTTGTTCAGCCTGTGATATTGGGAGCACAAAAATCCCACTAATCATCCCATTTGTTGGGTTAATTCTATCATCCGTTTTTTACATCATTCAAGCAACTTACATGGAATGGAATGTTTATCTTTTACTGATCAGTGATGCCATATTTGGTTGCTGTGGAGGTTATATTGGAGTCATTGGTAAGTGGGAATTATTGACTAAAATACAGGCAGCAAGTTTGAAAGCTAATCAAATAATCAATTCCACCAACCATGCATAACTTTAGGTACTACCATGGCTTACAGTGTGAAAGCAACAAATCCCCAGTATCGAAGCATCCGAATCGCTCTAATGGAGGGATCAATCGGACTCGGTGGAACAGTCGGCTTCGCCTTATCTGGCACTTTAAGAAGGTAAGCGGCCAAAAGCTTCTCATCTAAACCACTCGAAATCTAGCTTTGTTATTCAGCTCAATCGGATATACGTGGAGTTTCTTAATTCAAATGATCTGCCAAGTGCTTGCGTTTCTCTATATCATCACTTTCGCAAAAGAGTTGAATGAAACTCGGGATGAAGAAGAGATTAATGAGCAAGAAATCGGTGCGATACTTGACAAGGAGATTAATGTTAATTGAGTCTATCTAGGAAAGTTCACCAAATTTATCGCACGAATCGTCGAAATTCTTTACGAATTCTACGCGTTGCTTATCCGAAGACGAGAATTCCAATTGCTGTTGTGGTTATGTTTGGGAGCACTGGGATTAGAGCTTTTGATATTCGCCGGTTTGATGGACATTCAATACTCATTTCTTCGTTACAAACTTGGATGGGGAGATAAAGAATATGGGTGGTTTAGCGGTTTATCCTATGGAACGACGACTGCAGCTGTAAGTACAAGAATAGAAATGAAAACTTGTTTCAGGTCATGATAATCTATCCACATTTAAAACTAAAAGGATGGACGGATAGCCTGTTGGGAAGTCTTGGAATTTTCTTGAAGGTACTTAAACTTATAAAAGGAGTAAAGAACTGTAAAACAAATCAAGAATTTAGACGATATCATTATGCGTTTTTGCCTTCATATCCACTCCATGGATGGCCTACACAGTTACGGTGCTAACAATTGGCAATCGTTTTGTTTCCACCGGTTTCCGTGCATTCATCAGTAATCTTGTAGAGGAAAATGAGCAAGGTAAAGAAATCGAGGAATTTGGGGCCAACCTATCCAGGAGATTCATCAAAAATTCTCTTTCAGGCAAAGTCTTTTCATTGATCGTTTTTCTTGAAGGAGTTACAAGTTTGGCAGCCACAACGATCTACAACAATCTCTATCCAAAAACATTGCCGATCTTCCCGGGAATGATGATTCTTATATCAGCCGGTCTACTGTTGCCATGTTTATGCACTTTAATGTAAGTTAGATGAAATTAAACCGATCAGCGCCAACTTTCAGGTACGGTCACGTAGTAGTACAAAAGTCAATGACCCGGTTCGAGAACGAAGCCTCTGAAACACCTACCAACGGTACACAATGATAGTGTGTAGTTGAAAAATGATAAATTATTTGATTACTGTATCTTCGTCTTTGTGCTACTGTTTATTTTTCAAACAAACCTTGTCCCGGTCGATTCCCCATTTTCTGAGCTGTATCGATCGCTTTCCTGTAGGCATTCGTCTTCTGTGAGAGGGCATCCACAGCCATTCGGACACCTTAAAATGGTGATATAAAAAATAAACTTCAAATTGATCTAAGGCGCATGAGCTTTAAAAACTATGTAAGAGCTCTTAGACTTGAATTTTGCCCATAAGTTACACTATAGTTACTAGTAAAAACAAATACCATTGAGTATCGACGAATCTTCACTTGTCAACGGTTTGCCGGCCGATTTGATGCTCTCATGCAACTAAAAAAAACTGAATTCAAATTTCAAACAAAAATAAACCTCATTTCTTGAGATCAAACTATCGCCCCATTGTTTCATTACATCCGACGTGTCACTCGTTAGGAAGCGGCCCACACAATCCGATAAAACGAAGCGCATCAATTTGTTCTAAGGCAGTAAAAGCTACTTATTAAAATCATTTGCTTATTGAGAAGCTATTCACTAAATATTATATTTTTATACTCTGCAAAACATCAACTTACATTGTTCGGGAAAACATCGCTAACAATACGATGCATCTCGAGGGCACATTCAACGGCTAGCGACCATACACTTTTCTCGATGGTCGCAACCTAAATAAAATTTTAGATGACAAAAAGATGTTCTTTTCTTGCTTTTCAGTTCACATACACATTTTGAATGTATCCACCAATAACACTTACAAATTTCTGCTTGTTCCCGGCGAGCTCCTTCACGTGAATGGGCAGCTTCTAAATAAAATCAAATGAAAGAAGTTTAAAATATCGAGAATTTAAGTATGCTTTTATCGGTATTTTAAGGGTTGAGTAACAGTATAAAGCTCAAAAATACTTACTTCAGAGGCGTCGATTCCAAATCGTGGTCCATGATCAAGCACGACGACCACTTTATGGTCAGCTCCAAGTGGTTTCGGCTTCCCGACAAACGATTTTCCCATCCAAAAGAAAAAAAAAAAATGTTAAGTTCTGTTAAACGAGACGAACGAGCGTGAAAACTCAAAATGTAAAAACAGCAAAAATTTTTCTAATTTGTGTGAAAAGCTGTAATTCATTCAAAAGGTAACTTTAGACTTGCTTTAACAATCGCCATCGACATCGAAAGTTAAAACTACGTTTATTTCAACAACAAAAATATAACTCGTAAGCTGCAATAACATGTAAAACAAAGAAAATAACAAAGTTAAGTTCATTTTGGATTATCCTTGAGCGTTTCGATAAACTCCTGAACCAGGCATAAAAATTTTCAAAATCATATATTGACCTTGATTTTTGTGTCATATTTGCGCAAGTGTGCTATGTAATCCTCGGAAATCGCCTCGAAATCAGTCTGGAGTTTTCTGGATAAGGGAAAAGCAATAAATTTTAACTTTTTAGAATTACCTGTATTTTTCGCTTTCCTGTCGCAATTCCGTGAAACTAGTAGCATTCTTGAAATTAACTTCTTTGGAGGTCAAGCTCTAGAGATTTGTGAAAAGAAAAGAGAATCAACTAAATTACCATTTTGAAAGCGCTAATCCCTTGTGCAGCTCAGAAAACAAATTTTCGTGTTTCGATTACAGTCGTTGATTCAGCTTGTAAATTTACGGATAGTTCACACGCCTAAAACGAAAGGTAGTTTGTATATAGTTATCTACGTTAATATCAAGGTTCAATTTCCGCTTATAAATCACTGAATCAACCGAAAATTTGTTTGCTTTATCATTCCAACCTCCTTTTCCAACAATGTGAATGAGTTGTGTCCACAATGGCTCTTATATGCACAAGTTCCACAAATCTAAACGAATAAGATTCTTCGAATTTAAACACCAAATTACCTTCGAAATACATTTGATGCAGTGAAACATGTCGTCCGCAATATACTAAAAATTAACGTGAATTATGGCAGTGTTAACTATACCGATCTATCGCACTCAGAAAACGAGAGTTTTTCATTTCCTCCACCCGACGCGTCATTTCGAACAACTCATCCAAGAAATCTAAATAAAAACTAGAAAGCAAACAAAGTTTTGGTACCATGAAACTGATCTTTCCGTCCATCACAGTTTGCAAGGGTACCCACGTTACCAACTGAGCAAATGATCCTATATGGCCATTTATTGCTCTGATTTTGATCTAAGATTTCATGTTTTCAAATAACACCCCGTGCAAATGATGCGGTTGCAATTAAGAGTGAATGATTTCTTTCCATCAATCTCATTAGAACTTAAATAAAAAAAAATAACTCAAAATCAAATGCATCAAACCTACATTTATCGTGATAAATGGGACTGTTCTGGAATTTTGAACGGCTAGAAAGAAACTCTATTGTAAAAATAATGTAACCTTTAAAAGCAAATATCCACAGCCCATTTGAACCAGAGAATCGTTTTGTGATAAAACATCTAAAGATCACAATTTGAAATCAAGCCACAGTGCTTAAATTTTCAAAGTAGAATAAAAAATACCTATCAAAAAGTAAGCAAATTTTTCGTTATTGAGACAATCATTCCCTCGATTACATTGATGTTTCTTTTTATCTTTCTCTATCGACTTCTACTTCTCGAAACATTCGCTGCACATTGCCAATCCATATTGCAAATCCCGTGAAGATCGAGCCTGTTTTGCGACCGAGACAACTAAAAAGGTTATGCAACAATTATTTTAGTTTCTCAAGAGTTGAAATTAACTACAAGGAAATTGCCACAAAATTTGCATTTCTCATCATGTTTTGCCATAACTCTTACCATTAGCAAAAATATTGCGAAGAATTTCAAGAAAAAACTAAAAGATCCAACTCGCAGGCACCTAATAAAATTAAAAATTAGCTTTATTAGTAAAATTAACAAAACTTACACGGCCCATTGCAAAGAATGCAATTCAACGATTTGAATCCCGTCATTTTGAAAATCCCTATACAAATAGAAACTCGGCTCAACTCTTTATCAAAGTAAATAATATCAACCGAAATCGTGATTTGAATTAAACCAACCCAAGTTGAAATGATTTATTGACAATCAATGTGACGATATGCAAAAAATTAATCGAACAAGCTTTAAAATAGCAAGTTAGTCAAAGTTATTTATGGTTCTGCTTTTACTCGTTTCCGTCGTGCTGGTGGCTTGGGATCAGCAACAGTGTCACTTTCTCCTTTCATCTTTTCAGGTGGAGTGAATTCAGTTTTTATATTTTCCGAACGGAGGGGCTGTGGTGCCTCATCTCGTTTCCCGATTTGCTTTTGATTCCCCTCTTCTCGTTTCGCCAACAATTCCCCAAATTCACCATCTGGCAAGAAGAAATCGTTTTGGCAGAGAAGCAACTCGGGTGTCGATTCATTGCTTTCGATGGCTTCCATATCGTAGAAGGTTTTCAACTTTGTTCTGATATCTTCGGACGTAGGACGAATCTTGTATTTGGGTTTGAAGATCAGAATCCCATTCAAATTTTCAACTCCACCGTGTTGTCGACGATTCACCAATTCTTGAAGGTCATCATCAGTTAGTAGATCCTCAAAATCGGTATCCTCGTCTTCATACACATTGTTCATATAGAGATTGAGCATTGCCATATGATAGTGTTTCATGACGCCGGCTGGTTTGTGTTCAAGTAACTTCTTGAAAAGTCGTTTTTCCGATAGTTCACACCAGCAGTCAGTCTTCGAGTCGCTTTCCTCGTATGTGAGAATGGATGCTCGTTTGAGATCTGGGTGAAAGAATCGCTGTCGGATATTCTCTTCATTTCCTTCTACATCAAGCGCTTGCTCCTCTTCCAATTGAACACCCTCATCCGAACCTTTTATCTCCATCTAAAATTTGATAACATTAAAAAAATCAGGAACATTAAGATTTTGTTTAAAAACAAGATTAATGCCTATCTGCCGCGTTTAATAACAAAAGATTTTCTTTGTTTGCATCTAACAGACATTACCAAAAACTGAATAACAGATAAACTTTATTCAAAAAAACAAAATCAACCGGTTTAAAGAAGAAAAGAGAAGCGAAAGAATCACCGGATAATGGAGACGAAACTATTGACGAAATTTCACGAAGCACAAACAAAAAAATGGCGAAGCATTTGAGCCAGGAATGCAGAAGTTAAAAAAACTCGGCTTTGTAAAGATCTCAAATTTCTGTCTTGATTCAAATTTAAGTAAACAAACAATGAAAAATATACATAACCACCACCAAAAATTAAGCGCTGGAAGAATACGAAAGAAATCATGGATGTTGTTGGGCGTGAAGAATTTGCTTTTCGTGTTTGTTCTCAGCCAAAGCCTAAAAAAGATTATCTTTAAAATTTTTGAGAAATACCTAACCTGTTGATATCTCCAAAATTCGTTCGTACCGGATCGATCTCCTCAAGCTCCCTTGCAGAACTAAAAAGCATGGAATTTTACTGAGAACTTGACAACCTTTGAGTGTTTTAAGGTTCCAACTCTACCTGTTTAGCCCTGGTCACATGTATAAGACCACCATCAAGACCTTCTTCGATTTTCTCCATCTCGATATCCAACAGGAATGAAACGAGATAATGTGCACTAAAAAAATACATTAAGTAGGTATTCGCTAGGATAATAAAGCTCAAACCAATAAATTCAAACAAACCGGTTCTCCGTTTCGCTATATAACTTTTCAGCCCATTCAATGACATCTGGCCGTGAAATAAGCCCACCAGAGATCAAAAGCCTAGAAAAATTAGGTGTATATCTAAAGAAAACAATTACCCGGCCAAATAGTTCCAAACACTCGTTGTGGGTGAGCTTGCCCGCAATCTGTTTGCAGAAACTAAAAAGGATACATAATAGCTTACAAAAGCAAACAGACTTGATTTCAATATCAAGTGTCTCCTTAGTGATCGAATCTTCTCCCACAACTGTAGGATGAAATAACGATAGTTCCAAGCAAGAATTGTTATACGAATCCTGAATAAGGATTTGAACGTAAATAATATCGAGTGCTTACCTCGAGAAGCAGCTTTGTTGTATAGTCAATCTCTCGTTGGCCGACCAAATGGAAATGACGCACGACCATTGACGATGTTGCCACCCGTGATAGTTCTTTGGCTCATCATCGAACACGGCAGCAGTGAAATCCAACTCATCACCTAAAAATAAAAAGATTGTTTTCATAAGTCCTGTAGCTAAGGATACTTGAAAAGCCAACCATACGTTTTCGGCCCATTATAATTTTTAAAGCGCGGTGAAAAAGACTTTTACCTGGATTGCCGATCCACTCAACAAGTGTGCGGCGGTGATGCCTCTAAAGGAACAAATTCGAACATGAATTTCATTAAAACTCTTACCAAACTTGATAATTCTTTGGATTTTCCATGATGATATCACCGATGAAACGCAGCTCAGCTTTCAAATCGTGTCCGAGAGCCTTCAATAAGTCGCGGCGATATTGCCCAGAAAGATGCATTGCTTCAAAGACCATTAACGCTTACCAGACAGTGTAGTTGGCAGCATTCAACTGAATACAATCATTGGTGAGTTGAAAACATCGCTCCGAGATTTCCTTCTTTGTAAAAACAGCACGAAGATAGGAGAAAGCATCAACAACTAAACAACAATTAAATCATATTAGCATTAACAAGATTACTTGATTTATGCTTTCTTCGGGCAATATTTTCATAATCTGGTAGATCTATTATATTAAATAACAAAGAACTCATCGTTTACTTCTTTGTGTTTACACTTTGAAACAAATGTACGTTACTTTTAAAAACAGCAATACATAGATTGAATTAGGTTAGCGTCGTCTGGAAAAACGCAACCAAAGCGATAAACAATTACCGGCAAAATTCAAGTTTATGGGATTTTCTCAAAACAGTATTTTCCTCTGACTAAAAAGACTTCCCACACTGAGTTTAACCCAAATAAATAAGGAAAAAGTCAGAAAAGGCTTTGGCTGAGTTTCGAGCATTTTTCAAAATCCCACATCCTTCACTATGTAGATGCGAAGTTTAGGGGACCTCTCAAAACCTAGTGTTATGATGCTCCATAAAACAACTAAGGTTTTTATAGAACTAACAAAAAATGATCGGGGGATAGTTCCATCAACACCAACAATTCTCCGATCACCCAAAAATCAAGCCATGAATCCGAAGTTCGTCTAGTCATTGATTTGTGGAAAACCAGTCATGAAGTCGGTTAATCGAAGAAAACCGGGCATCTTGGAAGAAAATAAATATTTTCTTTTTCACAAATGCTAAATTTTTGTAATATGGTAATAATAAGCACCACCAAAACACCAAGCCTAAGAGAGTCCCATAAACTTCACATCTATGCAGTAAAGTATATGGGGTTTTCTAAAAAGGAAAAAATGCCTAAACCGAGCGAAAACCTTTTCCGACTTTTTTTTCTGCTTCTTTGGATTAAACTCAGTGTTGAAAGGTTTTAGGTAAAGAAAACACTGTTTTGAGAAAATCTCATAAACTTAAATTTAGCCCAATTTCTCCCATAAATTACTCCACAAGCTTCTCCGGCATCAATTCGCACAATAGTGTTCTCTTCGGGTGTCGGAAGAATCGGTGTGATGTCCGCCCAATCATCACGATCTCGATAGAATGGCGACGATTTCACTTCGGTTCCTTCACTCATCTGGAAAATCAACAATTAAGATCAGTTGGACAAAATGGGGAAAACGAAGATGATTTTGGATTAAAAGGCAAGTATCGATGTGTTTGTGGATAAAGTGGTGATAAACTATAAACTAAATCCAAAGGAATTAAAGAGAAAACAGACGAGCTTGACGTAACTGGAAATCCAAGTAAAAACAAACAAATGTCAATAGAATTTTGTCAAAATTGATTCAAAACTTCCGAAGTTTTCAAGAGTAACGACTAGATGTTCTTAATTGTAAGATGAATAATCAACAAACACGAGGTGCATAGCAAAAGCAAAAGCGCTACGTTTCATTTGCGCCGTGTCATTTGCGCCAAATTTACGCTTATGAAAATCACTGGGTAACAAATCAATTTTTCCCAACTTCTAACCAACTTCTTACAGTTTTCTGCTTCACAATTTTAGTTCTCATTGTTTTCTAATTAGAAAACACGTTTAAATCTCTATAAATACTCCAAAAACAGTCACTTTTGTGTCCCCGATTGGACTTTTGCTCTTTATATCATTTAATGTCATTTTCAATTCCGGCAAAGGCGCCAAAGTAGCGAGCATCGTCGAGGCAGAAAAGTAGGAAAAATAAAAAAAAACAATCATAGTTGGTAGGAAAGTGTGTTGAAAAGAGCAAATTTTGGCGCAAAATGAAATTGGCGCAAAAATTTCCGCTACAAATGATACATGGGAAATAATTTGGCGCTTTGCTAGCACCACAAAAATTAGCTGTAATCAAAAAAGATATTTAAAAAAAGTTATGTTTATAGGCATTTTCAAATGCTAAGCTATTCAACCCTTTAACTGAATATCTTCAATACCACTATAAGCAGCAATATATTTAACTAAGGAACGTGGCTGAATATCTTTAAAGCAATAATTTTTTTCATTCCACATAACAAAAATAATTTTGTTTGAGCGCCGAATTTTTGCTTTCTCTGTCCCTCTCGTATTCCGCAATCTCTCGTTATTGTTGGGGACAAAACTATAGAAATTTTCCCTCTACATTCCCTGCGTAAAGGCATATAAAAATACCCCGCAACAAAATTGATTTGTTCCACCACGGGATTTTGAGTTGAGAAAATTTCTCAGTTTTGTGTTTGTAATTATTGATTTTGTTTGCCATTGTAAGCTGTTTCCGATGAGATTTCTGACAAATTTATGCTGAATTTGGGACAGAGATTCATCAAAATTTTCATCAAAAGCAACTTCAACGAAATTTCCTTGTAACGAGCTCATTGTCAGCTGGGTTTAAGTGATTTTGCAATGACATTCGACTTGGAAAATCCTGCGCACAAATTGCCAGTTAAAACGAAGAGGATTCACAGGGTGGGACAAGCTACCTTTTGGGCACGTAGCGAAAAGGCCTTAGGAAACGAGAGCTTCAAAAAGTTTTATAGGAGGGGATCAATACGTAGATTCAGAATTTTGAAATAGATCCTCGCTGACACGTCAAATTTGGCTAAAAGGTAAAAACTACGCAACTTAACGCTTTTCCGCGGTTTTTGCCCAAATTTATGCCTGTTGAGGTTCGGGTTTGTCGAAATTCGTAATCTACGCATGAGCCCTCTATATGGAAATATTTTCGAAGCTCTACGGTCTTGCCAAGGCCTTTTCCAAGCAAAAAAGGATCGCATTTGTCCCACCCCAAGAATTCACATTCTACTATCCGAAACCGTGTGAATATCGTGTGCATTTGTATTTTTAACGATCACAGAAAGCGGGTAGTTTGGGGTTGTCAAAAATTGGCGCGTTTCGGAAACGTATTAGATCCCATTGCTAAGCTTTGCCAAACCATGATGACTCTCCAATTGATCTCCCGAATTCATTTTCTCGATCACAAGTCACAAACCAAGGTCAGACTTTCTTTTTTGTATTTCTCCTATAATTGTTCACTTTTTGTGTCCTCTTTTTGGGTTTTGAACCTTATCAAATGATGAAATGGAGAAAAAGAAATCTTATCTTTTCTAGAAAACGTCGATTTTCTTTTTTGCCGGGCGCTTTTTCCGCAAATAAACCCCTTGATTTCGATATTTTCCCTGGTCTTTTTTTCTTTTTTAGAAATTCCACGAAAGTCAGCACTTTTGCTTTAGTAAAAAGATCACTGGATCTAACTTAAAGTTTCGAATTTCATCATTTAAAGCTTTAGATTTTATTGCCTCGTTTTCTTGCCTGTGTTGAAAAGCTCGAATTCTCAATTTTTTTAATCTATAAAGTACCTTTGTACTCAAAAAAGATATTCAGTTAAGAGGCTTTTGTGAAATTCCGAAGAGCTTTTTTAGTTACTTTATAGTATTTTTTAGTACTCTTTTTTGTAGCCTTTTGAAGTGTCTTTTGATTTAAACAAAAGATATTTTAGTCTCTAATTATATCTTTTTTAATATAGAAATACTTTTGTCT